CTATTTCTTGCGCCCCCTACACTTGCCTGGACGCACCAACCTTGGCAGCGTCTTCAAAGGACCCAGAAGGACCTGGGAGGACAGAGATTGGGTTCCTTTCCCGAGCTTCGGGCTTCGGGCTTCGAGTCCGCACAACACATGGAAGCAGGCTGCCTTTCGGTCGAAAAGGGATTTTGAAAGGGAAACGGCGGAGGGGTGGGGGTTCACCATCGTATGATGGACACGGGTCTATACCTTCTTGTAGAGTATTGGTTTTGGGTTGTCTGCAAAATAGGCATGGGGCGTTCCATGGAAAGAGACAAACAACGACGTGGTTGCACTCCAGGTTTTCTCGGTTAGCCAGGACCGAACTAACTCTCAGCTCCAAATGCCCGGCTTTGTTTCAGGCTGTATTTTGAGAAAAAAACATGTTTGCTTGGTGCCTCCTCTTTGTTAAGTCGACAGTTCCCTTTTCTTGTCCCTTTTGGTGGCTTCCCCTCACCCGAGCTTAACTTCTCAGGAACGGGAAGGCAGACTTCCCAAGGGTGCAATAAGCCTAACCCTTCACCCTTCCAGAACCCTGGCAACCGCAGCCTATCCGACCCCAAAGCTTTCAGCTGTGGAAGAAAGGCAACCTCACTTTTGGGAGCTTTCTGTTGACACGAATGCCTCGAGCGAGCGATCGAAAAACGCCAGGTTGGCAGCTACGAGCACTTCCAGTCCGCCCTGGGACCTGGTCTGTTTCTTGGGGGAAAAATGCAGAATCCACGACTCGGTGGCTCTGGTCAGTTTTCCGGTTGGAACTCCGGCAGCCGGGGTGTTGGAGCCTTCTGGGGGACTTGCAAGCCGGCTTTGTAGCTTTTTCAGTCTCTTCACATACACCAACCAAGGAAGGGGTGCACCCGGCCTTCCGGTTGAATTGTTTCGCCGGGTTGGCGTAGATCTTGAGAGGCATGTACAACGAAACGAACAAAACACAAGAAGTTCCATGGTACATACTTTGTTTTGTAGTAGTCCGGGGTTGACATATGACTTTAGAATGGACAACAAAGCAACTCCTTTTCCGGGGCATTGTTTTGACAGTTTCTGGGGGGTGTTCAAACTTTGATGACAAATTAAGGCCAGTTTTGGCCCACTTGCTTTTCCCAAAGGCGTCAAAAGGCTTTGGCAACTGTTGGGGTATATACTTGTTGGGGTCCTTGCAGGCGTCTTCAGTCCCTTTGAGACCCGGTGGAAACTCGCCCGCAATGTGTCAACCAAAAGCTGGCGTTTAAACCGGGTGATGGGACAAGCCGATCGAGGTGGGCTCGCAAGTGATCCTCTGCGGCCTGAACTTCTATTGGACCGTAGAGGCGACTTGCCCACGTTTCGGTCTCGGACAGGCCGTTGGCGCGAAACTCGGCTCGAGACTTTGGGGTAAAGTGATGCTCCAAGTGCAGTTCAGGATCTCGAAAGTCTTCGGACGCGCACTCCCCTTCTGCCTTCATGGGACATGAATCAAGCGCTGGTTGATGGGTGGGGGTCTCACTGGAGGAACCAGGGATCAAAATCCCTCTCAATCGGAGCTAGGGAGGACATTGAGGTAGGGGACTTACTTTGTTCAGGGTTCCCCATATCTCCCCATTTGGTGGTTCTTCTACATCGCCGTTTGCGGTGAGTGTCGTTTTGGTGGGGTGCTGGAACCCTGTAGTTCTGCAACTGGCGATTTTGATGGGTCCAATTCCTGTGGGAGGTGCAGCAAGGCTTCTTCCAGCTTATGTTTTTTGGGCTCCGCCTACATCTGCGATTGGGGTTGTGTTAGCAGGCAGTTCAGGATTTGTGGCCAACCCTAGATGTATCGCGCTCCTCAGGAGGGTGTGGGAAACAATTGCAGTCTATTGTCGTCGCTTTTGGGGGACATTGCGGGACTCAACAAATTGCCCGCAAAGACCTCATTCATTTCCCATGTCCATTGTGGAAGCCGCGTATTTGGACTGCGGCTCATGTGAGCATTGTAGGGGTCTCGAGTGGACTCCTCCGACGCCCTTTGGCAAAGCAGGGCTCCTCCTGTCCCCACCCCCGCCCCTGGCTTCCTCCAAAAGAGCCCTTTGCAAGGCGGGGGAGTTCACGGAGGGGTCGGGAGGGCACATCCTAACCAGTACATGTAAATGCCGCCCAAACCCTTGCAACTAGGTGCGTAACTGCCGTCACAGCGCTCTCTTTGTTTGGATCCTACGGTTTTTGGTGAGCTGAACCGCAACGGGGCAGCAGCTATAATTACCAAACTCGCGAATTGGCGCTTCGCCCCTCTGCAGGTTGCTCTGGGCATGCGGGAGCCTCGGGACTGGCCTGGGTTTGAAAGGAGAGGCCCGAAGGTTTCCCCCGTGGATGTAGGCATCATCAAACACCCCCGAGAGGGAAGAAGATCGGTTGGGTTCGGTTTCAGGGACTGAGGTAACCACCCCTCCGATGGCGTCTGAACAACCCTAGGGTTTTGCAAACAGAGGGAATCCAGTCGAAAGGCGGATCCCAACCGTTATAGCCTGCTTTCAGAATCCAAAGCACTCTTCTCCCTTGAAATGGGGGAACTAATCTAGGGTAGAGTTTGGTGTCCTTTTACATATTGATTGTGTGACTCAACGTGAAGCAGTGAGTTCGGACACACGCCAATAAACAATGGGGTTACTCACGAAGTGTCCATGTCAGTTGGGGACAGTTGACTGCCCCTTACATGACTTTCGTTCATCATAAACTTTGAGCTGGTAACCAGTCAACTGCGCTTGCAGAACAGAGAGACTTTAACAGGAGTATGGCTTTGTGGCTGCAATTATGTCATATTGCGCGGCCACCCTGCTCTGGGAGAACGGCAGCACACTTTCTCTGGTACATGGATAATGACATGCGCGAATGCACCTTCTAGTTGTGCAGAACTATGGTTTCGCTTTTTCATAGGCAACCTCGAAACACGGTTGGTGAACCCCCATATGCAGACCACAAGTGCCAGCCCGGAAGATGGCAATTTTTCAGACTGGGACCATCAGGGTACTGTAAGCGGGAGTTCCGATCGCGTGCGCCAAAGGGCAATGTGAGCATCTGAAAGTCGCCGACGCGCAGGTTGCGGAAGAGGCCGAAGAAGGAGTGAGACCTTTTTCAGCTTTTCCGCCGCGCTTTAGCCATGCTTGACTGGCTCCAGTTCAAGGGTCCGTTTCAAGTGGTTGCATTTTGAGTGGTAAGCCATAGATTCATGGGAACCCTGGAGTAGAAGACCCCTGGTTGATCAAGAGGGGGGTGTCCGCATGTAGTAGAGATTCAGACCCCTTTTTTCCAGGCGCCCCACCCCCTACTGCAAAATTGGACGGGTTTGTGAATCCGGGGTTCCCATTGAGCAAACTCAGATGGACCCAAAGGTGCCCGGTTGCTCCTGTTCGGAACAGATGAGACCAAGCCACCTGGCAGGAAGTGGGTTCCGTTTGAACCAGTGATTCCATATCCCTAGTTTTGCAACTAACCGAGAGAACCCTTTAAACACCAGCAGGAGAATGGATCGCAGGGTTACCTGTGGCTTGCCTGGAATCCACTGGGTTCCCTTTGGTTTTCCTTTGGCTTGCCTGTTGAGACACGAGCCAAAGCCAGCCGTGTGCGCAACGCACGACGCGGCGCTGAAAAGGGCTTGATTTGTGCACTCGGGCGATGGTGAATTGCAGGTTCCTTGTTGGGATATTGGATGCCTGTTTGGAACTGAGGGTCTCTCAAAGGACAGGGCACCGCCAAAATGGGCTTCGGTCTCCTGCTTCCCTTTTTTAGACCAACCCAAAAAAGGATACACTCATAGCGAAACACACCCAACTCTTGCTTTCCACAAAACACCTGCATGGGCGTGCGAATTGGTTTGCAAGACCAAACTGGCGAGGAAGATGTGATTGATGCCGATTTTCTTCCAACATTCCGGGGCAAATCTATGGGACCAAAGCCCGAAAGGGCGCCTATTCCCGGGCTAGTTTGAGGATTTTCCGACTCTCCCTGAAGGTGCGTAGACACAGGGCTCCCTATATTTCCTTTTTTGGGTGGCATTAAACATCCATTTGGCTGTAAGGTGATTTTGCTTTGGTAGCAGGAATATATTTTCCTTTACCAACTTGCCCTTTCAGCCCGACAAGCAGCACTTGCAATACATTGCGCCCTTTTCAAAGGGTGTTGGGCCTGAAGGGGTCATCAGTTGTGGCAAGTTAACGGGGACCCCTAGTTTTTGAACGCATGCCCCCTATCCCAAATACCATCTTGTTTCAGGGTAACTCCTGGGTTTTTAAGATTTACCCGACATGGGAGTAGCGGTTGGGCCGGTTGGCTTAGAGGATTTCGTTGTGAAACAAGTGATGTTGGGATGTATTCTGTTTCGGACCCCAACGCAGCTCACGTGGGAAGATCACGATCCTTTGGGCCCCGTTTCAGTTTCCATTTAAAGTAATTCGAAGAGGAGTAGGCGCTGTGTTTTGAATTTTGCTTGAACTCGCGAACGCCCAAGGGGGGGAGGACCACCCTTCTTGAGCCTGCAGACAGAGACGCCCATCAATCACCCGACCCTGATTTTGCCGACCCTAACCAGTCTTTTGGGGCAAGCCGAACAAAAATAGCTTTGGGGTTGAAAGAAACTCGTCTTAGACGTACGCCTGTCAGCGTCTGGCTCGGACGCATCATGAGGGCTCAATGAAGCAGAGGCGGAGCGTCGGCGTCGGCAGGTTCGGGGTTTGGATGTTCCAACTTGATACTTTGGTTATGACCATGGCTACACTTGGGGCAGGAGTTTGTTCCCTTGTAGCTATGGTATTTGAACCGTTCAATTTGGCTTACCCATTGAACATATGGGTTCCGAAGTCGGTTGCGAACAAACACATGTTGGACCAAGCCACCCAAAAAGGTTAAGACAAAAACAACAAACCTATCCAAGTGCTCAAGCGTAGCCCCTGTTTGCAACGCTCAAAACCTCAAGGAGAGCCATACGGCACCTTGTCCGCCAAAGGATCCGTTCGGCTCCGAGCTTACCCATGAGGTCAAGGCCCCTGCAAGATTCCTCTCCAGTTTGTGGATAGCTTTTAGCCCAGTTTCTTGGCGGGGGCGCTGGATTTCCACTTGGTGGCTTCCGCGGGACATGGATATGGATGTTTTTTGTGTAGCGAGCACACGAGCAGACAGTGCTCAACTCAGCTTGTCCTTGGGACTTTTCGCCTTTTTGGCTTTCAGTCATTTCCCCTTCCAAACCAACCAGTGGGATCAACCAAAGGGTTTCCGTTTTGGTCGCAACACGGGTCCCAGCCCAAAGGCAACCAACCACGTGCTTACCGATGTGTCTTCCAGGCTCTCAGCTGGCATGCTGAAAGTCGCTTGGCTGGTGGTGCAGCTGCCGGCCCTTTCCATTGCCGTGGTCCATAGATCAGGCGGGGTTTGCGCTCGAAATGCCATCCCTACTTAACGCATCGCAATTGCGGCCATCGAGTTTCCTTTGGGATGTTTGAGGGGCCACAAGGCCACTCCCTCCCCGTGGCCAGCCGTCGGCTTCTGGCTCCCTAGGGGCAAGCGCCTACCCGGCGCTGGGCCACGTGCAAGAGACCTGCAGCGGGAAGAACATCACCTGCGGCCACGGCAAGGCGCGAGCCACCCGGGCGGAATGAACCTGGAACCTCCGCTCAAGGCTCAAGCTCGCTGGGCACAAGTTTGGACAACCCCCAAAAGTAAAGGGCATGTCTTGCATGAAAAGTCGGAGTTTCAAGTACCCTCAAAACGCGGGTAGTTGGAGTAAGGGGGTAGTCATGAGATCCACAACAACAAAGGTTTGGTTATGTTTGGTTACCTTCAATGCGATCTGCCCTGCCCGGATTTGACTAAAAACTGGCAAGAAGACGAGGTGTGGAATTTAATTTTCTGGGAAAGGAATGAAACTCATATCATAAGTATATAAACTGTTAGAACCAGGTAGAAGCAAACGTCAATGGGTCGGTGCTCAAACATTTTGAGCCCCCTGCCGCATACTTTGTTTGGCATATATTGAGAAGCCGGGTTTCCATGGCAGCTGCCAGGATTGATTTTGTGTTTGGTCAGCACCTAAAAAACATCCCCGGAAAACGTGGGGCATTTGGAGTAGGGAGTCAACTGAGTCCGCTTATTTGCAAGCTTACGTGCAGATCCTGGTGCCCTATCGGGAGTGCGACGGGGACACTGCCAAAGCCTGTGACGAGGAGGAGCGCGGTGAGGGACCAAGTCGGTTCGTAGGGCCAAGTCGGTTTCAGAGGTGTTTTGTGTGTGTGTGTGTGTGTGTGTGTTTTTTGCTTGGCCGATGCGGTTTTGTTGTTTTTGTTTTGCAGGCAACATGATGGTTTCACTCTTTGTTGTGGACGCGATGTTTGTTTCTTTTTCCTGTGTGCAGTTGGGCGGGGTCTGGCTGCTGGTGTTTTGCGGGTCGCGTCGGACGTGCGGTTTGGGCGGCTCTCCTTCAGTCGAGACGTGTTGCGTTTCTGATATGGTTGTGGGATTGAAGCAAAACGAGGTCCTGCAACACTTTCCCCCAAAACAGACCACATTTGTCTTTTTGCAGACGCCCTTGCGGCACTATGTTCTCTTTTTTGAAACTCGCGAAGGGGTCAGGCCGACATGTAGTACCCGCCTCTCCAAAACGATGAATCACAAAGAAACACCAGTCCCATGGTGCTTATTTGCCCCCAGCCCCTGGTGAGCATGTGGTATTTTGGCGCAACCGTACCCCCAAAATCGCAAGCCAGCTTTGTTTTCCCTTCTAAAGACCAACCCAAAGGAGTGCCAACTAAAACAAAGACATATTTTTCGAGATGGCACCCCCTTCTGCTTGCTTTTTTCGAAGCCACATTCCAAACGGAAAGCCGCCCATCCTTAGATTGCCCATCAGCTCATGATTATGGGGTGGAGCATTTCATTCCACATCAGGGAGACGAGCAGCTTCTAAAACTCACTTGCCCGAAGCGGATCGAGCTTGGCAACCTTGTGGTTTCCGGGATGTGGTCGGTTCCAAAAGGTGATCACCTGTTACCCCAGAGAAGAAAGCACCTTCGCCTCACACTCTGCGAGGACTGCTGTGAGGAGAAGACCTCCTGTCAGGCTGTTGACCTCACCTGCGACCAGGCGTGATGGCCTTTGGGCATCCCATTGATGCAAGGGTTATAGAAAATAATGGGAGCTCCGGATGAACTACCCAAAACAAGCCCTCACTCACAAAAGTGATCCGGATTCCCACTGAAAGGGCCGAATGCAGTTGGGACGCATCCCTGTACTCACACGCACTCCGGTCTCCTCCGAAGCTATTTTAGGGAGACGAAACATGATACATTTGATGCACCCCATGGGCCAAGATTGCTCCTTTGAGGGGTAACCCCATGTCAAAAGATGACGTCTTTGTTCGCTTAGGGCTGAACATGGAGGACTGCGCACCCCGACCTGCAGTTGTCAGGTTGTTTTTTTGGGCCGGGCCAAACTCCATCAGGGCCCTGGTGTCAAAGAAGCGCGCATCCAAACAGCCCCCCACCTGTGGCCCTGTGGCCGCAGGGCCACGTGAAGATCGACGGGGCGCGCCTGGGGCTCGGACTGTTCGAGGGCGAAAGGTGACTGAGTGGGTGTCCCGTTTCTGCGGGGGGTCGCCGTACCTTGTGAGTTGCAAAGCCAGCGCGACGGCTTTGGCAGTGTTCGGCTTCAACAGGAACCGATGTCTTCGTTGAGCAACTTCACAGAACGCACATTTTACATGTGGGGAGCTTTCATGAGGCTGCCATTGATCGATTTCCAGTTCTTCAAAAAGAACGTGTCCCAATTTGTCGCGGTTTGTAGGGGCTGCGGGCCCCGTCTCCTGACTTTGGTTTGACTTTCCTTTCAACATGTTCCCTTGGTAGCAACAATAAAGGAGCCCTTGTTTGAAGTTCCAGGTCATGACGTCCAGCTTGGGTGTAAGGGGGATCTTCCAAAAAGCGGCTGGCTCCTGCCGAGGCTGTGGAAACATGACCTATGAGAGCTGTACCAAAGAGCCGGGGACCCGGCTGCCATCGGCTGCCATGGAAGCCGACCCGAGGGCAGTGGAAGACTACTTTCCTTTTGGGGAACACCCCTTCCTGGAGGGAGGGTACTTTCTGGCCACAAGCTTCGGCTTTAACGGCCACCGCGACTTTCAAGATAGTTTCGGGGACGTGAGTTTGGCGTTTCCTTTTCACCAAGGACAGCGACAAAAGGGTTCTGCGCCTTTTGCTGACAGCCCGCAACGCCTGTGTCCGCAAATGGGAGTAAAAGGCTGTTCTTTGGCATTCCGGTCCGAGAGTTAGCCATGGAAGCTCTCCGTTTGGGTTTGTGCCAGACATCGTGCAAAACAGCAAGGGAAACCCGCGGTCTCCTCCAAAATCACTCTATGTGCTAGACGAAGTAAATGCGTGGACAGCTGGGGGGCCCCAAACACGCCCTATTCAAAGCCAAGTTTGGTCGATTTTAGTTTTTCAAGAGGGTGTGTTCAGGCACTCCAAAGGGGATGGGTCTCTTCGGGAGTTTGGTTCTTGGGTGCTGTCCAAGTGGTGCCTGCTTGGAGGTTTCTTTCGCCCAGGTTGCAACCAGTCGCTTGGCCATGCCAAGTAAGCCCCCAGCATTCCTAATGGAATTGCGGAAGGGAGGCACTCGATTCTTTCCTTCACTCCAGTTCCCCTTTGTGGTTGGAACGGAAAGTAATTCGGGAAGTCCACCCTCTGAATCAGTATTGGATGTCACCATGACCATAAGTCATAAGGAAACCAACCCCAGTGTTTCCAGTAGCTATGGTTTGTAGGCGAAGTGGGTTGAACATCGGGTCGCCGTGTACCAAGCCGTTTTTTCGGGAGCACTTCTCGAGGGAGCCGAGCCCAAGTGGCCCAAGCCGCCCGCAGGACCTGCTGCGAGCCAGTCTACGACTGCGCCATGCTCCAGGCAACCGTTCAAATAGAAAGCTTGAGCTTCCAAGGCTTCCATCGCGTGGCTTCTTTTCTTGGAGTCGGAGCCCTTTGTGTTTTTCAGAATATGTCTAGCTCCCCCTGTTGGTTGTAGCGGGAATCTGTGAGGACTGGAACAATATGTTTTTCTAGGGGGATGCACCACACTCTGTACCCTTGATGCAGGTATATTGGGGTAGTAATTACGCCCCTTGACGGGGTACACGGCACCAATCTTCGGTGTGCATGCCTTCCGAACGTCCAAAAGCTTGGATAATATTGGGAAGAACCACCAATCCCAACTCTTGCCTGGCGTGGACTGTGTCTGCCAGTGAGGTTTTCGGAACTTTCCCTCTCTTTTTTTGGCGGGGGGGGGGGCTTTTCTGGGCCATCAGAAAGTTTTGTAGAAGAAATGTGCTGGCCATAAGCTGAGCGTTTCCTTTTGAGGCCAAGTTGTGAGGGGAGGGGTGTCCTGCAGCTTCAAGGTACGGGACACCCGGGTTCGGGGCATCAAAACCCGGGTTGAAGGTTTTGGGAGAGCCCGATAATTTGTCCGCCCCTTTTGATTCTTGACCGGTTAACTCCCCGGTTTCAATTTTCATTTGGGCTTGTTTAGATAGTCTTGATGCCCTTCCGAATAGTTTCCTTTCGTTGCGTCTCTTGCAAGCTGTGATGGGGAATGAACACGTGAATAAATCCCCAAATAACAAATACCCACACCAGCCACCCCCCACCTCCCCCACCTCCCCCACCTCCCCCACCTCCCCCACCTCCCCCCCACCTCCCCCACCCGAAGGTGGACAACCCCAGCTTCTGCGGGGTGCACGGGACGCTGGACGGCTCCCGGAGCTGCCCGGGCAGCCGCGGCGCCAGCTGCAGCTTCGCCTCCTGTGGCCCGGACGAAGCGGGGTTGACTGGTCTAGTCTAGGTTAGGTATTGTATTGGTAGAATCTGTTTTTTTTTGTAGTCTGGGTGGTCCAGGTTGGTTGCTTGGTTGCTTGGTTGCCTGGTTGCCTGGTTGGTTGGTTGGTTGGTTGCTTGCTTGGGTAATTGTTTGACTGGTGGTTGGCTCGAGGCTTTGGATCTTTCGCCGGGAAGCTTGTTGCTGGAGCTTCTTTTGTGTGTTGTTGGATATTGTTCTGTCACAAAGGTTGCTGCAAACCTTCAGGAGGATGTAACTGGCTCAGACTGGCCAGCAGATAGTACCAACCAGCGGCTACAGAAGAGCACCTGCGACAAGGGATGGTTTTCTGGCGGCCATTCCCTCGGGCCGAGAATATGGTGTCTCAATGTCTGGGGTTCCCTTCAACCCAACCCCTAAGGTACCGCGCCACACAAACATGCCAGTTTGGAACACGTGCTTGGTTCGCCAAGGTTTGAATGGTTGGCCTTTTCTGGACCTGGATATCAACATGGGGTAGTTGCCCAGTAGCGCCAAGGGCTGCAGAAACCGTGCAAACCACGGTGAACACTTGCTTTCAGGTGATCGTTGGGATGGATTGAGGAAGGTAGGCTTCTCATAAGCCTCGAGCCTTGCCAGTTACAACAGAAGTGGTTGCCATTTTGTTTTTGGACTGCCATCCGCTGAGAAATCTGGTCCTCCAGTGGAGAAAGGGGTATATACCGGGGTATATACCTGTCACATTTCTTCGGGGGTGAAGGTGTAGGACTGTCCCAACCAATGCGGAATCCGCTGTTGATCCCTGGGTTTGCTTGCTTTCATTGCCGCAGATTTGCTCATGGAGCCCAAGGTCAGGCCCAGTAAATCCCGGTTCCCTAAGGCTTCGTACCCGCAATTTGGGTCTTTATTTAGGATCTTCCACATGGGTGTGTCTTTGCGGGAAAGTGGCTTCGGCTTTCCTGTTGGCTTCCCTTACTCCAAAAGGGGTACCGAGCCTCAAAAAACGCCACAGGGCAAAGAGAGCTCCCTTTCGACGGAACCCGAGGCTGCAGGTCCGCCAAGATGTGCGGGGCGCTCCCGCTGACCCAGAGTTTGGTCATGTGCACGGGGGAGGAGGTCTTCAAAGCCTCCAACGTGCCCTGGCCTGACGCTCCGCGTCCGTCTTTTCGGTTCTGTTTGGAGGCGTTGCGCCCTTTCAGGTGTCAACGGGAGCCAAAAAGAGAGCCGGAGCCATTTTGTAGTTGTGCGCGACGACCCATATTTCCCTTTTGGTGGTTTTCAATCTGAGCTTCCTTTGGTAAGGGCGATTGAGAGGAACCCAATGTGCCACGGGCAAATCGTGTGAGCCTGTTTGAGGGGTCCCCCAAAGCTGAATCCGATCTCCGCGTTCGTCGCCTGCAGCGTGGCAACGCTTATGAAGGAGTCGACAAGTGTTGTCCGACGCCGTGATAGGCTCAAGTATGTCCAAATGGGGGCTGATCAAACGGGCCTTTACATGGGATGACCATTGGGTAAAACCACCAAAAAAAATGTTTCTTTCCACTATATAAATGGGACAAGTTACCCATGGTCTTTTGGGGGGTCAGGAATATTGATCATCCCCCAAATACACAACGAGCCATCACAAAGAAATGAAACTTGTTGTTTGACAAGCTACCAATGATCAAGAAGTACGGACTATGATATTATTCAGTGGATGCGAGGTAACAGGAACCACTATTGCGCTAGGTTTCTTGCATACAGCAAAACCAGAGCTTGAGAGGCCACAAGGTCAATCAGTAGCTGGCCAGCCAACATAATGGCCCAAGCATGCGGGCAATGGACTATGGAACGGGTGGCTGTTTATGAAAGCGGTCGGGCTGAGGCTGTATTCAGTGATGGTTCTGCTGTGGTTTTGCACCCTCCAATCGCCCAACGGGTCACGTTTTTTGACTCCAACGGTGCGCGGCAACGCCTCTTGTCCTCGTGCCTTCCAAAATGCAGCGGGAAGACAGATCTTAGAGCCAAGATTTTGACAGCAGCAGGGATCCGAGACAGGTTTCATCCACATCCCTCGTGCTTGAGTGATTTCAAGCGAAAGCAGAGGCGGCCAGGCCGAGCCACCCAGACTCTGTGGCCGGCGATCACACGTTTCCAGCCCGAGGCAGATGGCAGCGTCAGGGTTGCATCGATTGATGGCTTGACCCAGGTGACGCTGGCTTCACACAGCAGGACTTATGTGGTGGAGTGGTGGCGGCCATGCCGTTGCGAGGCTGAGATGAGGTGCGGCGAGGCCCAGATTGTTTACGAGTACGTGCGCCAGGAGCAGTGCTTTGCCGTAGAGCCGGTGCAGCTGGCCTGGGTCTATCCCGTCTTCCTTGCCCTTCACTCGCAAGGGAAGGAAGTTCTTTCCCTCGCAGCTGTGCTAGAACAGCAGCTCGCAGAAGGTCAAGCCTTGGACAGTGGCTATGGAGTCAGCACAGCGCTGCCTGAAGAGCCGACTTCTTCCTATCCCAGTGACTACAGTAGCGACAGCATATCTCCAGCTGTGTTAATGGGAGAGCCCAGCGAAGGTGCTGTTGCTTTGGTTTGGGCACGTGGTTCCACAATTCTGCTGCAGAACAAGGACGCTTCCATCGATGCTGTACTTGACCTGCCAGACTCGGCATCGAGTGTCAGGGTCTTGCTGGAATCTTCCTTGAGTGGCCGGTTCTGGAAACGCAGCGCATGCATACCCGACACATCGGAGATACCTGAACTGATTTGTTCGGAGGTGCGAGCGCCTGGGCGTTCCTTAGCTGCCCAACTCCTGTTGCTCGTGGACGAGGCTGGTACGTGGCTCCGGCACAATGCCGCATGTGCGAAGTCGCATGCGCTGCCTGCGCACTGCTTGCCCTTGCCCGGCTCGTCTTGCCCCTGGGTGCCGGAGATGGAAGTGGAGGGCCCAGCCCGCCTCACGATCTTCCGGTCCGCACGTCGATCTCGCCTGTTCCGGGTCCTCTTTGAGGATGGGTCGCGGCTGTCCTTTGAAGCTGACTCGGGCTCTTGCGACAGCCTGGACCCCTCGCAGACGTTCCGTCTGGTCAAAGCCTCCGGCGACATCTTGGTGCGGCGCTTCGCGGAGCCCATCGGGGCGGAGTTCGAGGTTCTGGTGACTCGCGCTCTGCTGGCCTCTTTGCACCCGGAGACCTACGTCCCGGACGTGGCGGATCGCGCCCTCAGGCGCAGCACACTGGCGCTTGCTCAGCAGCTCGGCGAGGGACGGCGAGGGACAGCCTTTGGGACATCAGAGTGCTTGGTGTCTCGTAGTTTCCCCTACAGCAATAGCTTAGGTGTCTTCAGTCAGAATGGAGGTTTCCGAGCAGATCCGATGATTAGGGCATACTTTTTCCGGAGGTCATTTTAAAGATTTGTTAGGGGTCCGGAGGGCTCCGGCGGGTTGCGGTAGATGGGTTCCGGAAAGTTCTCATGTGATTCGAATGAACTGGGCAAATGGAAATGCAGTGGACATGTGCTGCGCATTCGGACAACCAACCTCAAATGTCTACAGATCACCGAATCTGTCTGGCCTTTCATTCCAGACAACTCTAGACATTTGAGCCCCGAATCGGCTTTGCATTTACATCTGGGCCCTGCCATTCAGGTTTGGATTTTTTTCTGTGGGAGTCAGGCATGCCCCAACTTGCAATCGGCGGGTTCTGCGCATCCAAGGACTCCACACCTGGAGACGGCGAAGCTGTGCAAAGACTTTAATGAAGATGTTCCCAATGCGTTGAGCAAATGCAACCATGCATGCGAGTCGATCGGGAGACTGCTTGGTATGGTCTGAGCGCACTTCTTTGTTCGCTGGTTCGAAGGGGTCTGACCAGCAAAAGAGGCGCATGACTGCGTGGCACAAAATTCAGAAACGAATTGAGATGTGTATTCATTAAATCAAACCATGCAACATGTTTTGTTAAAGCCTCAAGATGAGGCTTTGGGCGTGGTTCTGGTCACGGGAACCTCTCCTTGAAAAGTACACCCCCCACCCAAATGCTGTCCCCCAATGAATGCCTTTGGTTCTCTTATCTCAGAATGGGTGCCCTACCTGCAATTGGCATGGCAGCTAACAAAAGGGTGTTATTGTATGGTTCCCACAATCTTCAGTCTCATTGCGGGAACCTTCCCCGAGGAGAGACAAGGACGGGCACCCGCACAACCCACCACCCAACAATTGCTACCCTGAAAGAATGCACGCAACAAGGTTTGCTTTAAGCCAGCCCCAAGAAGTGTACCATCAAAAAGCAAACATCCATATGAGTGTGGTCAACGTTTCCAATAGTTTATGATGCGTTTGGGAGGGAAATGGGTGGGTGGGGGTGGGAGGGGATTCACTACATCCCCCCCCCGCTCCTCAGCAAAAAACAAACAAACAACAACAAGTCATTGATTTGATGGTGCCGTCTTACTCATTTTGACCCTTCTCATATGACTGTTTCTCGAAATAGTGGTTTCCAATTGTTGTCCTTGAACACCACGCAAAACCGCGTACCCTATAGTTTGACACACTCCTATCCTATTTGGTGCTTCGTTTGTTTGGGTTTTAAGAGAAACCTGAATGACACCATCCATATTTGAGTGCCTCTATTTGGAGAGACACCCATGTGTATTTTTGGAGTTGGTACCCTTTTTGGCGTGATTTTAAATGGGACACCACAAACATGTTTGGTTGTTCTGCCGCTTTTTAAAAGTACCCTCTAGACATTGGTTGTGACCGAATCGCCCCTTTGACCATTTTTGGAAACACATGGCTTTTCTATGAACCTACAAAAGGTCCCGTGACGTTTTTGCCGGGGGGGGGGGAAGATCTTGGAGCAAACCGGTAGATAGTGGTCTTACTGGTTGAGACTGTTGTTGGCAAGTGTTTAGGTTGCTTTGTTTTTTGGGTTCTGTCATTTTTTAGGCCGCAAAAAAGCAAAGCTTTTGCTACCTTATGAGTGAGTGGTTGTAAAGGTTCCCATCTTCTACCAGGGTCATTGTCATTTGCAACTCGGAAACGGCTGGAAAAGAGCGTGGCGTTCTGTCAAACTTGAAACCTGTCGGCAGGTCGTCTTTTCTCGTCAACTCAGCTAGGTGGTGAAAAGCAAAGATCTCCACCCGGCCTTCCGCCGGACTCTCGTAGATCGCTTTCAGCGCGTTTCTTTTCCTCGCGCGACCGCTAGGTGGCCATGGGGCATAGCCTATGGCTCCATTTTAGGGATGAGCATCCATTGGCCACCTATGAAATGATGTTCACCAGGGGTACCCTCCCACCAGCCAACATGGAAGTGCACAGACCCCTGTAGCAAGACTACTTTCCTCTTGGAAAGGGCCTTTTTGGCACACACCCACGTCAGTTGGTGGGGTACCTTAAATTTTGCACCCCGCCAGGTCTGTTTGAACGACCTCTGCGACGCCAGCGCCTGCTGCGCACCGCGGGCCACCTGCGCCTCCGCGCTGCAGACCGTCAGCTGCGGGCTGGAGGGCAACTTCCGGGCCGTTCGCCTAAGACGCGGCGAAATGGGTGGCACGTGCCCGTCTTTTGTGAGGTTTCTTCTCCCCTCCCCCCAAAAACAGACATGGCGCAAGGGTTTTTTCCTTTTGGACCTAGCAAAAGGGGTGTCCTCCAAAAAGACTCAACATGAAAGGCAAAAAGGGGGTCTATCTCCCAACAGGAGATGCCTCTGCAAATGGGAGTTTTTCGGGTTCCATGTTAATCTAATTCATGTTCTTACGTCTTGGTTTGTCGTTTTGAAGCTTTGCCTTGGACTTTGTCCGATATTGAGTATGAATTGGCGTATCCCTTGACAAATGCTGATTGTTCGTCGCTGTGCCAAAAGCTGCGGAATGATTGTTGGGAAGCAGTTCTTCTTTGCATTTTGGCGGCAGAGAGCCGAGAGCGTACTCCAGTGACGCTGGGCAAACATAGATGGGTGTGGGTCAAAACCTAGATGCCATTTTTTTGGGTAACCCCTCAGTTGTTTGGTCCATTTCAGCGGAGGGAGGGAGCGGGGCTTTGACCCACATCCAGAGTGCATTTCCGTTCAGACGATGACTTTGACCTTTGCGAGCCGGGCTCCCATCTTTTGGTGGCAAGGGTAAATGGCTCGTCTGACTGGGTTGAAATCCCCGTCCTAAAATTGCTAGACATAAATTCCTCCAGGTATTTCAGATCATCTTCTCAGTCGGACGGACTTGTGAATTTGAGCACCTGCAGGCTGTTGAAGATAAGCAACTCTTTGACACAGTTGCTTTTGGCTTAGGGTTTGGGGTCCCGCCGATCTTGAACGTCAGCCAAGGGAGCTCAGTCATGGGGAGGCTGCGTAACAAACTCCGGCCCCAAACGAACCAGCAGCACGTTTCAGGCCCTTGGAGTCGGGTGACCTTCGGAGAAGCCCAACTTGCGGTTCCAATATTTGAACTCGCAAGGTGGTGCTATGAATTTGGAAGGGGATTGGAGGGTTTTGTGTGTCTCTGTGTTTGTTTGTTTGTGTGTTTGTGTGTGTGTGTGTGTGTGGCGCCGGCAGGCCATATGATTCTACCAGGCGCCCCCCTCCCATCCTCAGAGGAAGCCAGGTGGGGGTTGGCATTCCACGGACAACTTGTGTCAACTGATACCCCGGCCCAACAAGAATCAAGCGGCAACAGTGGCCCGGTTACAACAGGCCTGGCCAGAGACCAGGTTGTGTTCCGTTTAAAACGTCACTCCCATTTGTTGAGGGGGGTTCGGTCAGCCAGAGAAGGGTACCCGTTTGGGCGTGGCCAGCCGTGTTTTGTGAGGCAGTCTTTGAAAAGGCCGGCATTGGCGCAAGGCTCACCAAACAGAAGCATCAACTCTTAGGAGAGACATTCGAACCTCTGCTCCCCAGAAAGGTTGTCAGAACCCTTCTAATCACGTTCCCAGTTTGTGGGTTTTGAACTTTTTGAGAAGACACTCGGTGTGGCAAGCCAAAAGTTTAGTACCTTATTTGGCCAATCCACTCAAGAAGTGAGTTAGAGGAACCCCTTCCAAAAACATATATCCCCTAACTCATATGAACCCTGAATTGGCGTTTTCGCCCCCTTCTTGTTGATCAAGCCAAAATGGAAAGCCACCCCAAAGCTCCAAGCCCAAATGATCAAAAGAGGGAGGCTGACATAACCTTACCCCCCCCAGGCCCCAAATTGTGGTTTTGCATTGCTGGGTTTTAGGGTTAACGGTTCCCCATGTGGCAAACGAGACTAGGCAGCCGATGAACCAATCCAGACCAGTCAAAAAGAGGGCTACCGAGGTCGGCAACAGCTGCAGAGGATCCGTCGGCACCTCAGGTCACACTCCCTTGCTCCCTTGGTTCCCCGACCAAGGGAGCCCCCCCAAGTGGCGCAACAGTTTTCCTCGTGGTTTTCCTAAGCCACAAAATTCGGGGTACCCTCAAAAAGGACACCTGCAGGTGGATCCACCAAATTTGTCCAAGCCAAATTGGCCACGGAAGTGAGGTCCTGGGCGGCGAACAGTCCATGTGTTTTGGTTGGGAGAAGCCGCCCCAGAACTAGAGAGGTTCTGAGTTTTGTCCAGACCCGCTATGTAGCACCCAGATTAAAATCAACTCGCACACGTGTGCGTGCTGTGTTTTCTCCAGCGGAACACCGGTTGTTCCCATGCGGTGCATAGGTCCGCAACCCCACCCTCCCTGATGTGTTGGCTTCAAGAAGAACGAGCCCGCGTCTTGGTGAACCCGGTTTCGGTGCGGTTGAAGTTGAGCCTTTGTGTCCCTTGACAAATCCATCCTTTCAGAGATGGCGCGCGTGAATTCAAGTTAAAGCTCTTCAGGAACGCGCGCTGTCTCAGAAATTCTGAGATAGCACCTTGAGTCTGGAAAAAACTTGAGCTCGAGCACTGAAGCACGTTCGCAGAAGCGGGTCATGGTGCAATCTTAGGAATGGAGTGTTGGTTCCTCTCAGGCTTTCTTGAGATAGAACCCGAACCTTGAGAAAGAGCGTACTTGGATAGCTGCTACGCCCCTGATCTATGAACTTGTGGTAAGAACCCCAGGTCGGTAGCGAAGTCTTAAAACTCGCATTTTTGGTCACATGCGAAGGGGTCAGTTTGCTCCATTGTGGAGCGGCCCTGCAGGTTCCTTGAGGATCTTGAGGGTTCTCGGGTTCTTGGTACCCGCCAACCTTGCTCTTTTCTACAGGCTCTTTGGCAAAACAAGCCAGGCTTTCGCATGAGGCTACCTGTCTTGGATTTTCGATCCCCCTACACATTTCCGTCCCCTACCCATTTCAGGGGAACCTCCCGGATTTGGCGACCAACCCCACAACTGAAGCATCCACCCCCGCCAACCTGCAACTGCCCAACCAAACCCTTCCAAGAGAAACCAACGGGAAACCGACTCAATTTTGGCGGTCCAAATCTATATTTTGAGACATACCCACACCAAAACAAGGTTTCCAGCTGAAGAACCTACATTTTCGGGGTCGCTTGAAGGCCAAGACCCGAGCTTTTTTCCAGTTTCGAACGGTTGCCACATCCAGGCGAAATTCTCAGGTGTAGCCTTAGGCTTCCCTATATTCCCTTCAAACATCTTCTAGGGGTTGATTCCCCATTCTTTTCAGCCATCGTTCTTTTCAAACACCAGCCATTTCCCTAGGTTTTTTTTGTGGTTTTCTAGAAGAAGGATCCTTAACAAAAAGGGGAAGTTACCCCTTGAGCCATCCTACGAAATGTGAGCTGCTGCTCAGCGGGGCCAAGGACAGCAGCACTTGCTCCACGGAGACCTGCTGCGAACCGAAGGTGCGGTGCGGCGAGCCGGCGCAGCGCCCCGGGCGGCTTGGTGGAAATTTGAGGGATTCTCGTTATTTTTTTTTGGGGGGGAGGGGGGCGGGAAGAGTTGTTTGAAAAGGACAACTGGGTCCCCCAGTAGTGCCCTTCGCTCCCCTTCTTTGGTTGGGAGGGTTCCTCTAGTAAAATAAACTACAGAACAAAGAGTACCCTTATTCTAACCTCTCTACTGGAGGACCTAGACAAACAATAGGAGACCGACCGGGCCCCAAGTTGTTTTTTGTGTTTGAAGATTCAACTAGGAATTGGCCCCCAACAAAGGAGTTTGTGCCTTGCGAGAACTTGGAGAAGTTTTCTTTCAGCTTGAAACAGGGGGTGGTGTCCAAAATTGGAATCACGCCAGAAATTGGCCGCTTTCCTTTTGGATTCCTCAAATGTTCCAAAGAGGTTTCAGACGTCCCCAAATTCAAGGTCTACAACTGCGGGCAAGCAACCTGGGCGTTTGTGTTTGCGACTGGTATTCCTTGGGTTTGACTTGGGAGCACGTTTTTGGCGCGGAACGAGAAGCGATTCAACCGCAGCTTCGTGGGGTCGCCAGCCCCCGTGGGAAAGCTGGGCGAGGAAAAAAAAGACACCAGGTTGCGCACTCTTGTGCCAGCCCTTCCAGTTAGCCATGGGCCACAGGGCTTACAAACATGCCCAACTGCTCAACATCTGCGTGGCCATGCTCAAGCGTCAAGCTCTAAAGTGTTCCGGGATCTATTCTGTTGTTAAGGTTGTCAGAATAGTATTTTTGGTGGGGTGTGGGGGGGGGGGGGGGGGGGGCAAAAGCTGAGATTTTTTCTGGGGATCATCATTTTTATTTTTATTTTTATTTTTATTTATTTATTTATTTATTTATTTATTTGTTTGTTTGTTTGTTTGTTTGTTTGTCTATGTATTTATTTATTTGTTTGTTTGTTTGTTTATTTATTTATTTATTCATTCATTCATTCATTTATTTGTTCTTATATTGTTCATTTATTTTATGTGTTTATTATGTATTCGTTGCATTGATGCATGTATGTATTTCTCAATGTATTTGTGCTTATATGTATTTATTGAATGTATGTATTTAGTGTACTTATTTACTTCATGTATATATTTAGTTTATCTATTTGTCAACCTATGTATGTGTTTGCTTGCTTGTTTTTACCCATTTATTGTTTACTTGTGTTTATTCGTTCATCTATCTCTCTATGCAGTAGTTTTTTTCCTATCTAACATGTGTGCTTGTTTGTTTGCTATTTTACTGTATTGGTTGATAACTTAAGTAGTGATGCATTGTATTTGGCTCATGAGTTCTATTGTTTGAATTTTGTGGTTCATCAATTTATACTGTATTTGCTTTCCACTTTTCTCACTGGTTTAAAGCAAATTTCATTTACACTATTCCCGTTGTTAGATCACTTCATTTGAATATTGGGTTGTTGTTGTTTGACAGTCAAATCTAGTTCGAATCTGGATTCGTTAATTATTTCGTTTGCGCGTTCATTCTTTCATTCCGTCATTGTTTCATTACATAATTATTTTATTCTGTCATTCTTTCATTCTTCCTTTCATTCTTTCTTTTATTGTTCCTTTCATTCTTTGATCCATCCATTCATCCATTTGTCCATTCATCCATGCGTCCATTCATCCATGCGTCCATTCATCCATCCCTTCCTCCCTTCATTCCTTCAAGCTATTAGTCAGTTCAATTCGTTTAGTTCATTCATTCGTTCGTTCGATCGTTCGTTCGTTCATTCATTCATTCCTACCTACCTACCTACCTACCGAACCTACCTAACCTACCTACCTAACCTAACCTAACCTAACCTAACCCTTGCCTTACCTTACCTTACCTTTACCTTACCTTACCTTACCTTACCTTACCTTACCTTACCTTACCTTACCTTACCTTACCTTACCTACCTACCTACCTACGCACGCCTGCAGCAACGGCTGTGTCGCTAATGAAATGATGAACACGAAATGAACATGAACCGATAATTGAATGAAATGCAAGTGCAACTGACACTGAAGTCAACTTGAACAGCAATGACATGAACAATGAAAGGACATGGACCACTGGAAAAGACTGGAATGGAATGAAATGAACATGACATGAAATGGAATGATTGATATGGCTGGAATGAAAAGAACATAAATGCACATCAAGTGAGCTGAAACGAGCATGAATTGAAACGAAACTGACATGAAAAGGGAAACAACATGAAGTGACAACAAATGACATGAACAGAAAGGAACACAATTATGAATGAAATGAAATGGCATGAAATGGCATGAAATGGCATGAAATGGACATCATAATGAACACAACATGAAGTAAACAGCAATGAACATAGTTGAACATAGAAAGGAGCGAAAAACACATGAAAGCAAACATGAAAGGGATAGCGAGCGAACAACAAATGAAACGAAAGGCAACAGCTTCCGGGCCCCTGGTTTGGCTTCGGCTAACTCAGGTCCAGCAGGCTCTGAGCCTGTGCGTTCTGATTTTACATGTCGAATTGACTTGTCACTTCATTTGAATCCACTTGATTTCATCTCATGTCATTTCATTTCGTTTCATTTCGGCTCACTCATTTCATGCGTTTTTTTCTTCATCAGTTGCATTCATTTCACACTCTTCTCATTTATTACATGCATTTCGTTCATCTCATTCGTTCAATTCATTTAGTTCGTTTGATTCTTTTCATTTGTTTAATTCGTGTCAGCTTCAGTCGTTTCATTTGTTTTCGTTATTTTCGGTCGTTAATTCAATTCAGTCATTTTATGCAGTGCAATCATGTCTTTCTCTTTATTCGTTTCGTAGCTTCGTTTGTTACATTGATTCATCCGCTTTATTCTTTCGAATCGTTTAACTCACGCCATTAAACTTCTTCATTGCCCACTCATTCCGTTGATTTCGTTCGTTTAATTCATCCTGTTCATCTGATTCATCTTGATTCATTTCATTCAGTTTCGTCGTTTCATGGAACTCATTCATTCCATTCCTTCCATTTGTGAACTCCTTCGCAATCAATCAACAAGACAACCAAGCAACAAGTCAATCAATCATTCAATCAACCAATCAACCAATCGGCCAATCAGCCAACCGATCAAACAACCAACCAATGAATCAATGAATGAATGAATGAATGAGTCAATGAGTCAATGAATTAATGAAAGAATGAATGAATGAATGAATGAATGAATGAATGAATGAGTGAATGAATGAATGAATGAATGAATGAATGAATGAATGACTGACTGACTGACTGAATGAATGAATGAATGAATGAATGAATGAATGACTGACTGACTGAATGAATGAATGAATGAATGAATGAGTGAATCAATGACTGAATGACTGAATTCTTGAATTAATGAATGAATGCATGACTGACTGACTGACTGACTGACTGACTGAATGAATGAATGAATGAATGAATGAATCAACCAATCAATCAATTAATGAATCAATAAATCAATCAATCAATCAATCAATCAATCAATCAATCAATCAATCAATCAATCAAGCAAGCAAGCAAGCAAGCAAGCAAGCAATCAATCAATCAATCAATCAATCAACTGTTGTTTGCGTGTTTGCACGCTTTTTTGCAATGTTTCGTCGTTGTCGTTTCATTTAGGCTTCCCCAAATTCCTAAGACTAGACTCATATGCCCAATATAAAAAAAGTATGTTTGTGTTTGTTTCTGGGTGGGGCATGATCTGTGCTGAAGGCTCTGAGTCCGTTCCGGTTTCGGCGCCTAAGGCTGGCCTGCCTGCTGACGCAGGTCTGGAAGTCGGACGGCACCTGCGAGGAGGGCTGCGCGGCAGACGACTGCTGCGAGGACAAGGCGGGCGGATGTCGGATGGCGGGATGGAGGTCGGAGCGCGGAGAGAACATTGTGAGCATAGGTGTTCTTTTTGGTTGTTTTGCTCGAAAAATCGATGGCGCTGGTTTACCTGGTGGTTTAATCATCTACCAGGGCCATCTATTTCCCCTAAAAGGACACCTATGATTGTGAGTTGCCGCTGCCCACAGACAACACCTCGCCTTTGTCGGGTAAGATGTCGACCCGGGGCGAAATTGGAGGTATTTTCCGTGCAAAGCCGGGTTCGAGATATGCCTCAACCAAACAAATCAGATTTTCGGGGTAGGGTAAGTGACTGCTTACCGCTTCCTGCATGGCGCAAAGCGGGTTTCCATGCGAACGGAAAGTTGACAGCAAAACGCCCGCATTTTTCTCCAAGCATTGCCTGACTTCAGCCAAGTCCCCCCTTAGCCCTGGTTGGTTGGTTGGTTGGTTGGCTGGCTGGCTGGCTGGCTGGCTGGCTGGCCGCATCCCCGGCATCACCAACATCACTTGGACCTGGGGTTGGCTATTGGCTCTGATGGGGTGGCAGTTGGGGGCTGGTTTAAGTTAGGGGGGTTTTGGCTGGCTTAGATCTTCATGAGGGTGGGTCTTGGGGTGGTTTGGGGTTGATTTAGGCGAAGCGAAGCCCCAAACCAACCCAAAACTAGACCAAAACTCTATTAACCACACCCTAAAGCAACTCCCAACAGCAGCCTGGATGTCAGCCCTTCGCTTCGCCTAAATCAACCCCAAACCACCCCAAGACCCACCCTCATGAAGATCCAAGCCAGCCAAAACCCCCCCTAACTTAAACCAGCCCCCAGCAACTCCCAACTGCCACCCCATCAGAGCCAATAGCCAACCCCAGGTCCAAGTGATGTTGGTGATGCCGGGGATGCGGCCAGCCAACCAATCACAGCCAGGGTTAGGAAAAAACCAGAGTTAGTAAAAACAAAAACACCTCCACCGCTTAAAACAGTTTATTCCATTTACCAGGGCCATCGATTCCAAAAACCACCTATGCACCCAACCATGTCCTGAGAGGGTGTCAGTTTCTCCAGGAGACTTGCGAGGGGCTGGAGGAGCTGTGCGGCGCAGGGGAAGTTCTCATGCCCAACGCCTTGTGTGCTGGTGGGGGGCTCATGGGCGGCTGAGTCCTTTGTCAAGCTCAGTTGGCGGGAGACTTGTGGGAACATAGCCATCCGCCCAAATACCCACTTTGCTTTGATGATGAGAACTCTGACAAAAGCGGGATAAGTATACTTTGCTGAAACCAGTTTTTGTCAGAGATACCCACTTGGAGAAGGGGGTGAGCTTTGGCTGGTTCACCGCTAACAGGGTCCTGCCGAGAATCAGGGGCTATATCTTGCATGGAGCTTCCCTTTGGGAGAAGACCTCTTCTGGCCTGAAATTTGGAGGTTATGGACCTTGAGGTGGACATTTGATCGGTAAGGGTGACATCTGCATCCTAACTTGCTGCAGCTCTACAGTGGGCAACGAAACCGAACAAGTGGACCGCATGTCCCAGCCTGTAACATACGCGATGCTGTATGTAAGCATTTTCTACGCCTTATAGAAGCCTAAGACAAGCCTTGGAGAAGCCTTATACAAGCCTCATGTGAGCCTTTTATACGCCCATAAGCTGTTTTCACGCCTTGCATGAGGGACGGCTATCATAAGCCTGAGGTAACTTCACTCGCAAGCCTTACGAAAAGGAGTCCGAGCCCGATTATGTTGCACCCGCTCCGACGATTGCAAGAAAAATAATCGAGCTCATTCATTTGCCCAACTGTTCTCAGACGCCCAGTGGACATGGAGACAAGAAGCGAGGCGGCGCGAGGCAAGGCTGTGCTCAGCAGATTGCGTGGCAAAGTGCGCAAATCTGAGCTGCGCGGAGAGCTGCGCAGAGCAACCCAAGGGCTATGTTGAGATGCGCCGCGCAGCTCGCCTTTTTGAGCTAGAACCCTTCGCTACGCTGGCGGAAAGGGACTTTAAGGGTGCCCGCCAAGAAGACCAGGACTCTAAGGGAACCCAACAAACTTACTCGTAGGTGAGCCCAACAAGCATAAATACCTATGCGTTTGTACATATGTAAATAAGTGTGCATAATATATATATATATATATATGTTTAATCCAAAAGGGGTAAGCATGCACGATTCTCGGGTCAACGGAGTTTTCGGCTGACAGGTTTTTGTTTGGTTGTCGGTTTCTTTTGGATTTGGGGGAGGCCAGGATTCCCCGTGGAGTCAGGCCTCCTGGTAGAAACCCGGCCAGTGGCCCTGTGGCCTAGGCCGGGGGAGGGGTAGCTGGGGGAGGGGGGGGTCAGTGCTGTCACGAGCGGTTGGGCCAAGAAGGTTTGAGCCCTTTGGAGGGGCTTGAGCTTCCTCCTCGGCCTTGCTGGGCACACCCCCCTCCCCAGCTCGTGATGGAGGAGCTTCGGGCGGATTTGGCCCGCAAGGGAGGCACTACGGATGATTGGAACTACGGTTTGAACCTGGGCCTCATCGGCAGCGACCTCGACTGGATCGACGCGAGGGCAATCCAGGACCGGGCACGCTCAGCGGCGGACAACTTGATGTCGAAGGGGGCCTACCTGGAATACGAGTGCTACGATGCCAGGGGCCGCAGCCAAGGGCGAGCAGTGGTTAAGATTCGAGGTTGGGCTGACCCTGAGAAAGGCCTACTGGAGGCGGACCACTTGGCAGCGAGCGATGGGTACTACCAGTACTATGGCGAGAGCGAACTCTCGAAGGGCAAGGCTTTATACCACATTTGCGGTGGGGCCCGGCGAGGGTGCAATGTTCATCTCCATCGGGGTGATCGACGTGAGCTTGTTCACCTGGAGAGATGGAGGATGATCAACCCACTCCTCATGAAAGAGGTGGAGTACTTGAGAAGGATTGCCGAGGTTTGCATGCGTGAGCATGTTGTGAACTTCGCCCCGCGGGTCCCAGAGCCAGTGCTGCCCCCCAGAGGCGGCGACATTGATGCCTCGGGGATTGACAAGGCAGTGGCTGAGGCTGCAGCAGATGATGCTGACTATGAAGGAGGAGAGCGAAGGACCGAGGAGGGCCGTCTCCAAGTGGTGCCCCAGGCGTCCCGACGTGGGTCTGTAGGGGCACTGCTCGAGGAGAGGGCCAGAAGACAGACGGAGGGAACTCGAAGGAAGGAAGCAGAAAGAAAAGGGAGAAGGAAGGCAAGAAGCAGAAGCGTCAGCGAAAGGAGGAAGCGATCAAGAGGACGGAGCCGGACTAGGAAGAGAAGGAGGGACAGCCGGAGCCCAGAATCATCTCGGTCGTCGGGTTTTTGCGAGCCCTCTTCCCGGGGGGAGGGCGAGCTGTGGCGGCTAAGTCAACGACACCCCGGGCGCCTGCTGAAGAGCGGGATGAAGGAGCTCGAGCGCTACCTAGCGGATCGAGCAGGCGAGGGCACGAGCGAGGACGGATGGGCACAGCACAAAGTGATGGCGTACATCAATCAAGTCATCCTGGCTGTCCACCCCATGCAGTCCATCGGCCTGCGCAACCACAGAGAACTCGTGACTTTGGGGACCAGCTTAGATTTGCTGATGAATGGGAGGCTGGCAGAGCTGGGGGACTTGCTGATGCAAAGACTCAAAGCCCTCGAAACAAGCTTGACCGATCAGAACTGGTCAGCAGCTCGGCATCAGGAGCTGATACCGCCAGTGGCAGCCTCCTTGACTACTTTGGGAGAGCGGCACAGGACGGCCCGAGCCGAGTTGCAGCAGGTGAAGCTGAAGGAAGCGCTGCAGAAGCACAAGGCCAGCAAATAGGGGCAAGGCGGCGGGGACGCAGCCCAAAGCGCACCCGTGACGCCACCCCGTTCCAAGGAGTTGAGCTGGGCCAGGGGGCAAGGAGCCACGAGGTGGCGTCTGACCCCAGGAGATCAAGCGGGAAGCCCCGTGAGGAGCGACATGCGACGAGAGGAGGAGAAGAAGCCGGCAGAGCGCGAGAGTGCCATGCGGAAGCCACGGCACGAGAGCGAAGAGTCCCGGAGGCCCGTTGGCCAGGGGACCGTGCGACGGGTTCAGATAGACGACCGCCCGCGCCAGATTATGAACGAGAAGGAGCAGAGAGAGGAGATGCGGAAAGGAGGAGGGGAGAACAGAGGAAGAGGAAGGGGGTTTTCCCCTCTTTGGAAAGGAGGATCAAAGTCGTGGAATCGCACAGGAAGAGGCAAGGGGAAGCAAAAAGGAAACGGGAAGGTGAAGATGAGGAGTGGAACTCCGATTCCGAGGTAGCAAGCCAAAGGAGTGCTGTTTCAAGCCGGATCGGGGGGAACTCCACAGAGCTCCTGGATGTGATGAGGGAGTGGCTGAGGGGCGAGAATTGCGGGGAACTCACGACCTCTCAATCAGGCGCCCTGCTTGTCTTGATGATCCACCGCAGTGGGACTAACTTGGGGAATTACCTGGAGAAGTCCACAAAGCCGGGGTCAGTCGCAGGCGAGGGAGGCCCGAGGCAGCGGAGCCTCATGCCTCTGCCGCTGTGGACTGACGTCCAGGAGGAGCTCAAGAAGGTTCTGGAGAGCGGTGAGTACAAGAGACTGGCGGGTAGTTGGGCTGCCAAAAAGCAGCAGAAGCAGAAGGCAGCAAAAGCCGTGAGGAGGTCCGGGCTCCTTATATGGCATGGCCTCGTGGTGATCTTGCTGAACCACCTGTGGACAGGGGGAGGTAACAGAGGACGAGTCCATCAAGGGAGTACTACCCTTGCTCAGCAAAGGGCATTGGAGAGACTTTGGGAGGTTGTGAAGGTTTTCTGCGATGATGCCTCGGAGTCAAAGGACAAGATTCCCAAGTCTCCATCAATGGGAGAATGGGGCAACCGCCTCGGAGATGTCAAGATCTCCTACACAGGGGAGATTGTTGACAAAGCTCACAAGCTAACCCTGGCTCAGGTCCTGCCTGGTTTGCCCCCTGAAGGCTACGGAGCCTCTGTCCCGCTGGCCGAACTCTGCGAAGGAGAGTTGAGGGAACGCTTGGAGGACCCCCTGTCCAACCTACTGCCTGAGGAGGAGCTCCCTGAGATCATCCCAAAACCTCGGACTCATGCTGACCAGGACCAATGGGAGGCCATTGTGAAGGTCTTGCATGCCCGCGGCCTTGTGGAGCCGGTTGAAGACCCAGTGAAGGTCAAGGGGCTTCCGATTGAGAACGGAGCCTTCGGAGTCGTGAAGCCTGGCAAGTATTTGGAGGATGAGCGACCGGTCCTGAGATTCATTATGGACTTCAGAGCGACGAACAGTGTGAGCAGAGTGCTCACAGGAGATGTGAAGAGCTTGACGGGCGCTGCGTCACTGCAGCACATCGTGCTACCTGAAGGGAAGGTCCTGAGGATGTCGGCTGATGACCTCGTGGCGGCCTTTTACCTGTTTGCCCTGCCACGTGGATGGAGCAGGCTCATGTGCTTCGGAGGCCCTGTGGCCTGGAAGTCACTGGGCTATGCCAGGGAAGGCCGTGTCCGGGTAGGAGCCACGGTCCTGCCCATGGGATGGGCGTCGGCGGTGGGAGTTCTCCAGCATGCTCACCGCCGGCTAGCCCTTCGCAGCCCGTTGCGTGGCGGCGCTGGCTTTTTGGGACGGTGTGAAATTAGGAGGGACAGTGTCTTCCCGAATCTGGAGCTGGGAGAGTCGCTGTGGTCCCTGTACTTGGATGATACGGATTTGATTGAGATCATGGACAAACGGCTGGGAAAGGAGATGGAAGGAAAGAATTCCGAGGAGCAGCTGAGGCTTAGGAGGGCTTATGAGCACTGGGGCATCCCAATCAGCTTGGAAAAGGCACTTGTGAGGGCGAAGCAGGCTGAAAAGCTCGGAGCGGTCATTGACGGTGACCGAGGGCTTTTGAGGGCAGCAACAAGGCGTGCGCTAGAGAGCCTGTCCTTGGGTGCCTGGATGCTGCGCCAGGAGGAGGTCCCACGGAAAGCCCTACAAGTTTTCTGCGGAAAGGAGGTCCACACTATGCAATTCCGTCGGCCTACCTTTGGGATCTTCGACTACATTTGGAAGGACATCAGCGATGGGGGGCCGATGGTCCGCCTGGAGGAGAAGTCTGTCGAAGAGATCTTGATGGCAGGGATGTCCCAGCCTTTGCGTTTTACCGACCTGAGGGCAAAGCTACATGAAGTGGTGACCGCTTCGGACGCGTGCGAGACCGGAGGTGGGATGGTCTACGGTGGAAAGTTGAGCGCGCAAGGCATCAAGGAGTCTTTGTGCTTGGAAGGCAAACGGGACTACTATCCGATCGAAGCGGTGGAGCCCACGGACAAGCAAACCATTTTGGTCTTTGACTGCTTTGCTGGAATCGGAGGCTTATCGCAGGCTTTGAAGCTTGCTGGTGTCGAGGTAAATCGGCTGGTGGTCATCGAGATGGACAGCTCCTGCAGGAGGCTGAACCTCACAAGGTGGCCAGGATGCGAGGTCATGCTGGACATCCAGAAGATCAAGAAGAGTGACCTTGAAAAGGTCATGCGGAGTGTGCCTGGGTTGACGGGAGTCATTACCGGAGGTGGCTCCCCATGTCAGGGGCTTTCAAGGCTTTCCTCAAACAGGCAACATCTTGATGATCCTCGGAGTGCTTTGTTCTACAAGTTCGGGGAGGTGCTCCGCTGGGTGAGTGAGCTAGCGGCTGCCATGAAGATATGGGATGTTCAGTTCGTCGAGAATGTTGTCGGGGATGACGAAGACATCTCCGAGATGAGCGGTGAACTGAACCGCAGGCCAATCTACTGCTGCGCCAGTGGACTTTCTAGGGTCAGGCGGCCCAGACTGTACTGGCGCAACGTGGAAATGGGGGACCATGAGAGCTTTGGGCGCGGGCACACAGCCTTGTACGACATCATTGAGTTCAACGAGAAGCGTGAGCCACTTGAGGATGTGATCGATGCTGGATGGGAGTGGCCCGCCGGCAAGGCTGACCCCAGCCTTTGCTTGCCAACTTTCACGAGGGCTATCCCAAGGACAAAGCCTCCGGCAGAGCCCGCGGGGTTGAGGCTATGTGACCAGGAAACAGTTGGGAGGTGGAAGGATGACTTGATGAAGTATCCTCCTTACACCTACCAGCAGCAATATCTCATGGAGTGCAAGGGTGAAGCTGATAAGAAGCGGGTTGCCTCCGTCACGGAGCGTGAGCGTTTGATGGGCTATCCTGCTGGCTACACCCTTGCGTTGCACAAAAAGGACCCTACAAACACAGAGGAGGAGTTCAGGCAGCAGGTGGCGCGTGAGGCGGCCATTGGCAACTCCTTCCATGCTGTGAAGGTGGCGTGTCTTTTGGACCTCTGGCTTTGGACCGCTGGAGTGCGGACTGACCCCAAGGGCGCTTCAAAGATTGTAGAGGAATGGCACCAGATGATGCGCACTAGGAGGTACAACGACGAGGGCCTGATGGAAGGAACGGAGGTGACCCATGCAACGTCTCTGAATGAGAAGGAGGAAGAAGACAGGCTGCTTCAAATAGAAAAGCCGCCAGGGCTGATGGAGTGGCTGAGGATGAGCAGCAGGGATGGTGAGCGTCTTCCAGACCCGAAGCTCCTGGCAGCCCGGCTGGTTCACCAGTACCTTCGCCGGGCCGAGTTTAGAGGATCTGACGTGAGGCTAGATCTTCAAGTAGTCTACAGACCAGATGCGGTTGCCCGAACAACCGTGGACCCACGGAGGTGGGTCTGGAAGGTGGCTCACTCCTACAAGTGGGATCGCCGTGAACACATCAACGTGCTGGAATTGCGGGCTATTCTTCATTCGCTGGAATGGCGAGCCAGATCTGCAACGTTCCACTCCTGCCGCTTTTTGCGTTTGAGCGACTCCCAGATCTGCTTAGCAGTCCTTGCAAAGGGGAGGAGCTCAAGCCGCAAGTTGAATCGCATTTTGCGAAAGATTGCCGCCCTCTGCATCGCCTTGAACCTCTACCCTCTTTGGGCTTGGATCGCATCCAAGCTCAACCCAGCGGATGAGCCGTCCAGACGCTATGAGCCGAAGGACAATTAAGTATTTGACAACAAAGGAGGCAAGGCGAGAGGAGAGACGGCAGATAGGGCGGCTTGAGGACAAAAGAGTTTCACAGACTACCTTGACACGCTACCAAGAGGCTTTTGGTGACTTGGTGAACTTTGCACGCGTTTCACGACAAGCACTGCTACAAGACGGTGGGCAGCTGAACTTGGTTCTTAAAAACTACATTGAGCATCTCTGGGAAGATGGAGACACCAGGACCATGGCAAGCTATGCCTTGGCAGCAGCTCAGTACTTTGCCCCGCAGCACAAAAGACAGATCAGTGAGGCTTGGCGCTTGGTGAGCCTATGGAGCCGGTTGGAACAGCCAATCAGAGCAACCCCGTTATCACCAGAGATGTGCCTTGCTTTTGCGGGTCTGTTTTTGCAATGGCGGTGGGAGCGGCTAGCCTACTTGACTGTTGTTGGCTTTTGTGGCTTCCTTCGCACTGGCGAGATGTTCAAACTGCGGCGGCAACATGTGGTACTCCCTGCGCGTCAGGGCCAAGCTGCCATCATTTTTCTTGAAGACACCAAAACCGGCCAAAGGAACCACATGCAATGGGAAAAAGTGCTGATCACTGAGGAGACTGGGATTAAATCTTTGGAGCGCTTGTGCGTGGGCCGAGCCCCTACTGATTTCCTTGTCACTGAGTCTTCTGCAAAGTATCGGAAGCTTTGGAAGCAGGTGGTGGCCTCCCTTCAGTTGGAGCAATTCAATTACTTACCGTATTCCTTGCGACGTGGTGGCGCCACATCGGCCTACCGGCAAGGGGCCACGCTTGATGAGCTTCTGTTAAAAGGGCGCTGGAAACACGTTGCAACTGCCCGCCTGTATCTTGATCAAGGGCTTCAGGAGTTTACCAACCTCGCCCTGCCTCCGACCTCCCTTCCTGCCATTCGCGCTGCGCGACAAGCTTTCTGTGCCTCTGTCAGCCAGCAGGGGACGCGTGGAGGAGGGGGCAAAGCTCAGAGGCTGTGAGCGGGGAAACTTGGGATTCAGGCCCAAGATGGGCCTCGAATCTTTGCCTTTTTGGTCAGGAGGCACGTGACCCCGGCAAAAGTGCAGCGTTGCGTGTGCTGGGTCACGGCAGTTGCACGAGGAGTAGTGCATGTTTAATCCAAAAGGGGTAAGCATGCACGATTCTCGGGTCAACGGAGTTTTCGGCTCCCACCACCACCCCGTACTCCTCCAGCTCAGAGGCTGTGAGCGGGGAAATTTGGGATTCAGGCCCAAGATGGGCCTCGAATCTTTGCCTTTTTGGTCAGGAGGCACGTGACCCCGGCAAAAGTGCAGCGTTGCGTGTGCTGGGTCACGGCAGTTGCACGAGGAGTAGTGCATATATATACAATTACATATATATATGTCATGCACTTGATACTGATTTCTTTGCCTATTATATTTACTTGCTTATGTACTTAGCTTGCATTGTTTTACTTACGTGTTCATCATTTGATCTGCTTATTTGGTTGACTAAGGGAGCCAACCTAGAGAAAGTTCAGACGCCGCGCTGCTCACGTGGTGTCAATCAGGTCAAGCAAGTTTTCAGGGACCCTATCTCCAAGTATGAAAAGCATGTAGCAAGTCTTTTTGTGTCAGTTCTGTCTAATGTAAGTTGCCAGCTTTCCAAGGGTAAACCCAGTCTTCCGGAAGTGCTCGAGACATCGGAGGGTTCTGATCCGCGCGAGGCGTGAACCGTACTTCCTGCACGCGTCAGGCGCCGCGTGCAGATTTGACGAAGAAGTCATGAGACCGTGGGGCTCGTCCCCTTTTTTTCCGAGGCAAGCCTGCTCTGTTGGGCGAAACACTCCCGAATACTCCACCATGTTCACGCGTTGAGGGTTTTCCCAAGTTGACACTCTGGTTTTCTTCTTCCGGATTCCCGTTCTTTGGGTGACCGCGCGTTTCCTGTCGCGTTGCCCTCAGATGAATTCAGATGAATGGGACGGTCTAACCTACGAATGATTTGAGGTCTTGACCATCTTCTCCCTTTGGGCTGCAACCCGCATCAACGCACACCCAAAAGGATATCATGGGAACTCTCAAAGCGACCCTGGCAGTCGGGAAGCCACCAGCCCTTTGTCATTTGGGTTTGCGGTCTTGACAGGATGGAAAACGGAATGCGAACCACGTTTGGGAGGTTTTTGTTTGCCACATATTCATCTACGGAAGGCGGAAGGTATGTTTTGCCTAGCCCTGGCAAAGAGCTAACCCTGGCAGGTGGTCGGTTGGTTTGTTGGTTGGTTGGTTGGTTGGCTGGCTGGCTGGCTGGCTGGCTGGCTGGCTAGGTTGGCAGGGTAGGTTTAGGGTAGGTTTGGAGGTTCTCCGGTCTTAACATCCTCGTAACATCCTCAGCACCACTAGATACCACTAGGCTTTCGGCTGCGGCTGGCGAGGGTTGGCTCTGGGGTTCCAGGCCTATTGAGCAAGTCTGGGGTTGGCTGTGCTTGTGATGCTTCTTGGGCTTGGTCTCGGATGGGTTTAGGGTGTTGGCCTCAGTTATGGTTGTATTTAAGCCCACTTGGGTGCTTACCTTCAACCACCCTAAGCACTTAAAATCAATGACGGCCGAAGCCAACTTGAAACCCACCCCAAACCAGCCATTAAACCATCTACTTCAAGCACGGCCACCTTCAAATTTCTCTTAATAGTCCAGAGCCAACCCTGAGCCTACCTGGACCACCCTTTTTTTTTTCGCAGCCTAACCACAGCCCGGTGATGCTGAGACACGGTTCGGTGCATGGGACCTCACTCTGCAACTCCAGGCCTGCTGCCACTGAGCCGCAAATTCGCAGCATGCAGGTTCAAAAGCGGGAAGGCCAGCTTCCTGAAGTCAAGATTTGTCAGTGACTTGGGCCGAACAAAGCGCGCACAAAATTAGGGGCATATACTCCTCTTTTTTTTTGGTTCCCCCACACAAAGCAACTTGAAAAAGGTAGCTCTCAAAACGAACCGCACTTCCACATCGGGAGGTTTCACCGCTTGCCACGACTCCTGCGCCATCCACGATTGCTTGCAACAAAAACGCGCCATCCGCCAGTTTTCCGCCCGAGGGAAGCTGTCATAGTCCTGCCTAGTTTTGGGCTTCGTTGCGGGGGTAAAACGAGCTCACTGTCACGTAAGTTTCTTGACCCCGTATTTCAGGTTTCGGAATTGTCGTAACGTGACAGAACGCGACCTTTAGTCGCAGAAACAAAGGCGCAACCGAAGATACAGGATTTGCGGGGTACAACCCGCCTCCGCTCCTAACAGCCCTGCCAGTGCATGCGATCCCATGCCCTCGAAAGCGACGATTTTCAGTGCCCTGTTTCCCTGAGCGGGTTTCCCTTTGGAGACTGTTTTCGGGACAAACATCGGCCACAAAAAGGGGTCCCAAGACTTCCAAGAACGCCGATCTTGCTTGAGTTCCTTGCGCGCTGTCCGTCCGGCCGCAGCCCATTTGGCTCTTTGGCTCCGCAAATATATTTTTTCTGTCTGAACTTTTTGCCGTCCCTTTCAACCGAACATGGGTGCCTGCGGCAGCGCCAATTCGGCGCCTCAAGCTGCAATTTTCTTACTTTTTGGAGGCCATTCTCGTGGCAAACAGTTTGAACTTTTTTGTGGGCACGCAAAGGTACCCGTACGACCACGCGTGAACTCTGAGGAACCGCCCATCTCGTTTGAGTTCGCGGAACCCCTCCATGACTGAGAATGTTTCGGGAACGGTTTCGTGGAATTTTCGCTTGGGTTCGTTGGAATGGAGCGCACGTGTGCCATTGGGCGCTTTCTTTTCTATACTTTCCCATGGCTGCACCGCAAAAAAACAAGCCAACAACGCAGCTTACATACGCCTTGAACCTCCATGGACGGTCAAACTCCTGCACCAGTTGCCAGTATTCATAGGGCTTCATGGATCCTAAGTGGTGCAGGAGTTTGTCCTCCACCTGAGAATGACCCTGATTTTGCTCGGGCTTACCAACAGCTGGCTCGCAGGTTGCTGTCGTGAAGGCCCAGCCTGCTGCGCCCAAGCCAAAGTTTCGTGGACATAGGTTGCAGGCGCTCAGCGGGTGGACGCCTTTTCCGCCTGGCAAGTTGGCCCAACCTTTGTCTCACGGACTCATGGACTTCGGGGTTGGTTTATGAAAAAGTCAGTTTTCGTGTGTAGTTCAACTTTCCCTGCGGGGAGGCTGGAAAACTGGAAAACTGGAATTAGTTTGGGGGATTTGCAGGCAAACCGCCGTTGAGTGTGGGGCCCGCCCTTCTCATCGCCGGGAATTTGCATCTATTCGACTCGCACGAATCGGCGTGAGCGGACAAGTTTGGGGTAATTTGAATGCTGGATGCCATTTCCTGGTTTGACTCGCGAGGTTTTGGGCGAAAGTTTGAGATCCAACTTGTGGCTTGGATGGGTGAACTTACCCATTTAGCCTTTCAAGAATCAGGAGTTCAATCCCCCAAAGGGCTGGGAGCAGGATTTGTCCATCCAAGTAGAAAGCCATTGCCATTATCATAGTGACAATGACTCACTCCCAGAGTTCATGGACTTTGTACTGTTGGGAAGACAAGAAGTGTGGACTAATCCGACGTAGCTCACGGCAATAGCTGGGATTCGTTTGGGTTCATCAAAGTTCAAATGAGCGGAGCCAAATGGTCTAAAGCGATTCCCCACCTGGACGGGTTCTCCATAGAGATGTTATGATGATGATGATGATGATGATGATTATTTTGATCTTGGCGGTGCCGCGTTCCGATCATGACGCAGCTGCTTCCCCTAGAACGTGACAATCTGGTACTAAAATAAGCATGAGTCAAAAGAAAAACATTGGGGTGGTGGTGGTGGGAGAGGAAGGCTTTGGCCTAGCATGAGGCACCGACTGCACTTTTCAACGGCACTGCCACACGTGCGCCAGATGCACACTAGTCACAGCCCCCCCCCACACGCAAATTGTAATTTGCTCGGACCCTGAATCACCATGTATATGGCATTTTTTCTCTTTTCGATTTGGTGGTGCCGCATGGCGAACTGTTCCGACCTGATATTACCGATGTTACATTTGAAAGTGAAGCTTCCCCAGGCCGGGTGATGATCCATGTTAGCGAACTTGCAAATGCGACTCTTTGCGACAAAGTGTTTTTTTGGGACCGGGTGACAGTTGGTGAGGGTTGGTTGCAACAAGCCGCGCCAGGATGTGCCATTGTCCCCCTGTGCTTCGTGGCAGGGCCCTGATTTGGGCGCTCGAATCTCGCGGCCGGATCGCAGCCTGCACGACGAGCACGCGGCTCGGCTCGAAATATCCACCAACTTGGAGCCTTCGTGAGAACTCCAATGGCCCATGTCATAGTCACTCTTTAAGTGGGTGAACGGAAACCAACAACAGTGTTTGACTTATACCGGTTTACAATCAAAAACACGGGCCAGGCAAGACAACCCCAGTTTCTGACTTGCACCTGACGCGACTTTGCGACTGATCAAACCTTTCGATATGACCATCCGAGCTGAACGAAAGAAGCTCCTGGGCAGCGCCCAAAATGATTTCCAGCAGGTTCGGTTGGTGTAATAGCGTTTGTGGCGAGGCCTATATAAAGCTTTTCCAGCAAAATCCAGCAGTGCCGCCGCGTGCCGCCTGGGGGCTTCAAAGATCTAAGACCCACAGTTTGGAGCTTCCCCCCTTTCTTTCTGTCTGTCTGTCTCTTTCCGTCTTTCCGTCTTGCTTTCTTTCTTTCTTTCTTTCCTTCCTTCTTTCTTTCCTTCTTTGTTTCTTTCATTCTTTCATTCTTTCTTTCTTTCTTTCGTTCTTTCGTTCTTTCGTTCTTTCGTTCTTTGGTTTGTTCGTTCGTTCTCCTCTTTCTCATGGATCTCCCTTTTTCCTCAAACAGTGTTCAGGCTGGGTTAGATCGAGGGTTCGCGCTGAAAGTATTGGCAGGGTGCGAAAAGTTGCATTCGATGCGACACTCTCGAACAAAATGCGCTCTCGCTGTTGCGCCGTGTGAATTGTACGCATGAAGTCGCGCTTTTGATGGCTGCGACGTGGGTTCGCGTGTGTTCTCACCCTATAATTGCGCCCTGTCAAAGCGCTCTCGCTGTGGGGCCGTGCGAATGTGTGTTGGTCGCGGTGAACCCTCTGCGGAGATCGTTTGCGTCGAAGCGCTCTCGCTGTGGCGCAGTGTGAGTGTGTCTTAGTCGCAGCGAACCGTTTTTGCTTCTTCGCTTGCGCTTTCGCATTCGCGCGGTTTCGGGTTCGACTCGCCTGGTCCTCGGCTCTCCGGCTGTAAAATCGAGACTTTTAAGTACAAAATTCGCAAACACATGTACGCGAAGTGCACTCCCATGGCTCCTCCTCGCGACCAACACTTTTAGTTTCCACGCAAAGTACGTTCCTGCAGCTCCTATTTACCATGCAAAGTTTCCTGCAGCTCCGGCTGCGAAATCGCAAGTGTCTATGTCAACATGCAAAGGTGGCGCGCGAAGTGCGCTCCCGCAGCTCCAGCAACTTTTGAGTGCAAAATCCCGCATCTCCAGCTCGAAAATCGCAACTTTCAAATGGAAAAGCAGCACGGGAATGACACTTCCGCGAAAATAGCAACTTGTAAGCTCAAAAGTAGTAGGCCGCTAAGCACACTTCTGCAGGCAGCCTTCTTGCGCCGGCAAACTGCGCAGGTTTGGGGAGGTTGACAAGAGAAAGGGGCATGAAAGGCGGGTCAAGAGAGGTTGCAGAGCATGATGCGCGAGAGGGACCATCATGCGCAGAGTCATGCGCAGCATCCTCGCCAGCTTGTTTCAACTTGATTCTGCGCTGAGCGTTTGCAAGGGCATGTGTGTTGCAGCGACCAGGGCCATGACGTCCATGTATCTTTACGTATCTCTATATGTACCTTAATGTATCTCTCAACAGAGATACACGCATCCAAGCAAAACTATGTAGTAGAAGCAAGAAAGATACACGTATCTCAACTCAAAAAAGCTCAAAGGTACAGAACAGATACACGCAACTTTCAGGTGTCTTGCAAAGATATGTAAAGGTGCACCAAGAAGCATGAACAAAGGCGCAAAAATCGCATGCAAGTGCCACTGGGTGCGCGTCACTTGCCTGACTGGCGCAGAAACTTTTGTCCAGCTAGGTGTTGTAGCCTGGGAGGGACTCTTGAGTGAGAGCTTGGCAAAGACAAGAAAAGTTGCCAGACCTCTGTCTGTAAGAAACTGTGCCCTCGGCTAAGACGATGAAAGGGTTGAAATCCTAGGTGGGAGGAGAAGAAACGGGCAAATGGCAAGAAAAAGGACTTGCGCGGTCACGAACCAACGGGAGTTTTTTTGAAAAGGGAAAAGGCTCAAGTTGGATGAAGCCCGGTCTGAGCCGCTCACACCTTGCCTCCGACCCTCTCGATTTCCGAGGTGCAGAGGCTGGAGCACTTCCTGGAATGCGTCGAGCAGCAGCCAAAGGCCCTGGACAAGTTGATCACTAGGAGGCCGGACTAACTTCCATCACAACATTCCAACTCACGGACTTAAGCAAGAGGAGCAGGGGAACAGGCGCCGTCCGTCGCGGAATGGTCTTTTGAGAGGGATATATCCATGCAATTTACCAATCTTTTGTGCGAACAAGTTGAATGGACGCCCACGGGTGCAGGTGCATGTGCATTTGCGTGCCTTCGCGCGGCGCGTGCGGGCGTGCGGCTGTGTGTGCGTGCGCGTCCGCGTTTGTGTCTGTGTCTGTGCCTGTGCCTGTGCCTGTGCCTGTGCGTGTGTGTGTGTGTGGGTACGTGCGTGCGCGTGTGCGTGCGCGTGCGCTTGCGCGTGCGCTTGCGCGTGCGCGCGCGTGTGCGTGTGTGTTTGTGTGTGTGTGGGTGCGCGTGGGTTTGCGTGTGCATACGCCTGCGCCTGTGCCTGTGCTTATGTTTGTGTCTGTGTCAGTGTCTGTGTGTGTGTGTCTGTGTCTGTGCGTGTGTGTGTGCGCGTGTGTGTGTGCGCGCTTTTTGTTCTGTTCTTTTTCTGTGTGTGTGTGTGTTTCTGTGTGTTCGTGCGTCTGTGTCTGTGTCTGTGTGTCTGTGTGTCTGTGTCTGTGCGTCTGTGTCTGTGTCTGTGTCTGTGTCTGTGTGTGTGTCTCTGTGTGTCTGTGTGTTTGTGTGTCTGTGCGTCTGTGCGTCTGTGTCTGTGTCTGTGTTTGTGTGTGTGTGTGTTTTCGCTCGTCTTTGTTTCCGGGACAAGCAGCTAACCTTGCCCGGCCCCAGTCCAATCAGCTGCTGCTGGTGAAGGGTTCTCAGTTTTTTATTTATGAGCTTTTTGAGAGCGTGGGGCTTCCACCCATTCACTTGATCGAAACTCCTGGCTCGCGGGCCACGGATGCTTACTGGATTAGGGGGGTGTTGCCGCAAGGCGTGCCGCTGGTTCTTGATACAGCTGAAGCTACGCGATCTCCCAGCCGCATTTCAGCACAAAGGTGGTAGCCTGCAGCTAGGCTGCAGCGTTGGAAGCTTTGGCGCAGCTGGCTTTGTTGTCCCAGCGGGCGCGCCGGACTACGGGTGCTAACATGCCATGCGCCAGGGGGTCGTGCGCGCCGCTGGCTTGTGTTTGCTGGACGCAGAAGATCAACTTGCGCTTGACGCATGTGGCAGGTGTCAGGAGTTCTTGGGCTGATAGTCTGTCGCGAGGCCAGCAGAGTAGCCCAGATTTCTGGTCCAAATTGAATTCACAGTTGGCAGCTTGTGGGGTGTGCGCGCGGTGTTTGTGGGGTTGAGCCACGTGTGACCTGGCGCTCTGCTGCCTGCCCAGGCAGCATTTTCTGCTTGGGTGGCTCGCGGTCCAAGCTCTGCGTATGCGGGCGACCGCCGAGCGTCTATTGTTTGTTGCGTCCGCGCGCGGGTGTGTGTGTGTGTGTGGGTGCGTGCGTGCGTGCGTGCGTGCGTGCGTGCGTGCGTGCGTGCGTGCGTGCGTGCGTGCGTCCGTGCGTGCGTGCGTGCGTCCGTGCGTGCGTGCGTGCGTGCGTGCGTGCGTGGTGTGTGTGTGTGTGTCCCTTCCTGTTTCCAAGGATTTTTGCATATGCCGCTTTTGGTAATTCGCTGCATGTTTCAAGAGTCATGCAAACTCTTCAACATGCAGAGGGTCGGTTTTTCTTTTTCTGTTTCCGGAGTCTATGACAATCCACCGGGCGTCATACTGACGAGCCCGACCTGGTGGATGGGGCGAAACTCCAATGTTTGCGTGCACTTGGGCCAATGTGGCAGCTAGTGGCGCTACGATTTGAACTCAGCCTTTTTCGTAGTTTGCAACTGGCCCACAGTTTCCCGAAGATTGGCTGCTTGATGACCCTTGGAGAAAATCTCTGCAGACCAGCTTTGCTGGGACACAAGTGTGTGTGTGTGTGTGGCGGGGTGCGTGCGTGCGTGCGTGCGTGCGTGCGTGCGTGCGTGCGTGCGTGCGTGCGTGCGTGGGTGGGTGGGTGGGTGGGTGGGTGGGTGGGTGGGTGCGTGTGTGTGTGTGTGTCTGTGTCTCTGTGTGTGTGTGCGAGTACGCGCATGCGCATGTGTGCCTGCGAGTGTGCGTGTGTGGGTATATGTTCACGTGTGTGGGTGCACATGGAAGTCGTATGGTGTGCATGGGTGTGTGTGTGTGTGTGTGCGTTGCGTGTGCGTGCGTGTTCGTGTGTGTGCGTGTGTTCCTAAAAAATTTGGCCCGTTGGAAAGGGCTGCCCAGGTTGGAAAGGGCTGCCCAGACCCGTAGACACGTAGTTCACTGCCTGAATGGCAGGAGATCGCTTGGGACGCCAAGTGGCGCACCTGCCAAAGGAAGGTAGGTTGTGTGAATAGTTTTGCTCAGAGAAAGCCAGATCTGAACCGTATGCTGCAACGCTGAGTCAGGCGCTCAACGTATGTGTGTGTGCAGGTGAGTAAAAGTCCGCGCGGCTGCGTGCGTCTTTGTGTGCGTGTGCGTGTGCGAGTGTGTGCGTGTGCGTGTGTGTGTGTGTGTGCGCGTGTGTGTGTGTGTGTGTGTGGGTGCGTGCGTGCGTGTGCGTGTGCGTGTGCGTGTGCGTGTGCGGGTGTGCGTGTGCGGGTGTGCGTGTGCGTGTGCGCGTGTGCGTGTGCGTGTGCGTGTGCGTGTGCGTGTGCGTGTGCGTGTGCGTGTGCGTGTGCGTGTGCGTGTGCGTGTGCGTGTGTGTGTGTGTGTGCGTGTGCGTGTGCGTGTGCGTGTGCGTGTGTGTGTGTGTGTGTGTGTGTGTGTGTGTGTGTGTGTGTGTGTGTGTGTGTGTGTGTGTGTGTGTGTGTGTGTGTGTGTGTGTTTGTTTGTGTTTGCTTGCTTGCCTGTTGCACGGGAGCATATGAGGCTGCGTGTCTCTGTGTGCCCGCGTGTGATTGTCTTGTATTGGATGTGTGTGTGTGTGCGGGTGTGTTTGTGTGTGCCTGTGTGCTCGCGTTTCTGTGTGTCTGTTTTTCGTGTTTAGTTGTTTGTATGTGTGTGTTTGGGTAAAACGTTTGTGCTTGCTTCTATTCTTGTGTTGTATACGTTTGTTCTGTTTTGTTTGATTGCTTGCTGGTTTGAGTGTTTGTGTGTTGGGTGTGTTGGACGTGTGTGTTTGTGTGTGTGTGTGTCTCTCTCTCTCTCTCCGTGCAGTTTTGCATGCTGGGAAAGCAGGGGGGTCGATCAACCGGCCCGCCTCAGTTCCCAGGGTTCGCGTTGCCATCTCCCTCGCCTAATTACTTCAACGGAGCCAGCTACATGCCTGTTGGCCCCTTGATCATCCGTTTGTTTGGGAGACCCTCGCGCGGGGCTTCACCATGAGCGAATGGCACTGTGCGCGAGGAAAAACGATGGCAACTATAAGAACAGGTAGACAGTCTACGGTAGACATGTGTGAGATGATTTTTGACATGACTTTGCAGACGTGAGGTTCGTTCAACATGGACCAGAATTTATCAAGGTAGAATAGATGTATATGTTTCGCAGCAGGCGCTTCTATGAAACCGACAGTGGAAAGGCCCTTTCCCACCCCATCTCCCACAACCCTTGCAGAGGGCTTGCTCACTTCTTATTTGCTGGCTGCTTTTGAACTTGTCGAATTCGTGCCAGTTCCCTCGGCCAGGCGGCGTGCAGCAAAGGCACGGGTGTGGAATCGCGTCACTTTCAAGGAAGCCAATAGCCGTCGTTTTCCAAAGAACGTAGCGAAGGGTTCTAGCTCAAGAAGGCTCGAACATTTTTCGCGTTGCTTTCGGGCACAAGAAGCGCGCCGACCTTGAGTGCCAGATGGGGCGCCGGGGGTTTTACAGGGCTTGTGCAACGCGTGGTTTGCTTGTTGCTTTCCGGTTTGTGTGTTGATTGTTTTCTGGAGTCATCAGCACACCCACACCCTTCTGCCATTTGGATGGGTAATGTTCAAGCAGTTCATATTGGCTTTCGTGGCAGCTTAACTTTCGCTCAAGCTTTGCAGAGTGCCACTGCAGTCTGGTTGGAAGCCAGCAGCAAACGACCTTCACAGCCCGACGAAATTGATGTATTCAACCTTTTGCTTCTTTCATTTCCCACAATGGTTGGTGGACCCCTTGAACAATTGTGACTCCATTTGCTGTTTGCACTCTTCAGGTTGCGTGCTGTCCGCCGCCTGACACGGGGCTGAGGCAGGGAGAGACATCCTCACGATGCATCCTGCTTCGTCAACAGAAGTGGCGGGTTGGATGCTGATAAAAAATAGCTTTACAATTATTTCTCACCTAGAACAGGAACTTCGTGACAGCCATGCGTAGGGGAGGCAATATCGTCGGTTCTGAATGTCTCACGAAGTGAGTGTTCTGGGGTCCGGCGGTCGCTCTCGATATTGGCTGTTTCTGGTGGAAGCACGCCGTGGAACCTGATTTGTCCCACAGAAAGTTTGCAAAATTGGTTCAACGAACCAGACCAATCTTTTAGCTCGGGTCATGATCTTGATTTTTCTCTGGTGATCGAAGTCAGTAGCTGGGGCGCTTTTTGAAATTTGAGAATGGCAAAAAAAACACTGCAGCCAGCATTGGTTTAGCCCCGGGGCAGGTCGAACAATCCTCACCTAAGAAAGTTGCTCGACTAAGCTAGACTGCAACCAAACGCAAAGAAGCAGCCGCTGTTGCCGAAATCACGCTTTCAGAGCATGCTGGTTCGCGGGACCAGAAAAGCTCTTGCAAGGACACAGCCCCGAGATCCAACTTGGGCCAATGGCAGAAAGTGAGCAGAAAGTGAACAGAAAGTGAGGGGAGCGCGAGACATGTGGTGGCTTTGGACTTCCGGCCATCTCAGGCTTCGGACGCAGGCTTTGTCGCAGTCGGTCGAAAGAGTCTGGTAGCTGAAGTCGCGTCTGTCGCTGGCAGGTGCGGTGGGCGGTCGGGTGTCTCTTAAGGTCTATCAACCCCAAGCCTTGGAGAGCAAGCGGTTTTCCCCTTCAGCAAGCGCACCACTTGCTGAGGAAACTTCAAAGCGGCATGGAAGCGCCTGAAGTGGATGTGAAAGGAAAAGCATGAAACCAGCCGACCGTGAACCAAATTTGGGGGGCACCTCGCAGGATTGTTTGGGGCTTTGAGCCCACAAATATTGTATCATATTGTCATGATCAGAGACGAGTCGTGTGTGCAGAGATTCGAACAAAGAGCACCCCCCTTCTGCGCAATTCGCGTGCAGTCCATGGCGCCAGGCCTCCCGAGATGGGGCAGAGCAGTCACCCAAGTCACCGCGTGGTGGTAGCACTGTAGCCGGCGGCCCCTGACAGAACCACCAGAAGGTTCCTTTGAGGGCAGTTGCTGACACATGTAGAAAAGGCCCAACCCTGCAACAACCCTGCAGCTGCATGCTGCAAGCAGGATATGCCAGAGAGTTTTTCTCCCGGTCAGTTAGTTTGACGCAGCAGGGGGACCTGCTGGACATATGAGCCGGTATCTCGACTTCAAGCTGGCCCTTCCAACGGAGCAACGGGTCTATCCAAAGCAGAGTGACGGAAATAGCAAGCCTCCCAACAAGTCGAGACACTTCGCTCATGCTTCTCTGCATGCATGGCAATAGGGCTAAGCACTAGGGACAACTACCTGCCCGAATTGTTTTCAAAACTCTTCACAGCGAGGTGGAAGGTATGACCCACGCTATGAGATGGGTGCGGGGGGATTCGTCGTTTTCTCGCGCGCGTTTTACGTGCGCAGCGCGCGCAGCGATGGAAACAGTTGAGAAGCTGTGCGTGACGCATCCAAACTGTTCTCTGCTGATGCTTCTCGTTCTTGTCTTTCTTTCGCACTCTTCCTTTACAAAGATCGTTGCAAGACTTGAGTCGCAGGCTTTGGTTGTCTCCGTTTGCTCAAGTCCTCTTCCCTGTCCGGGGATGATTGTAGAGTTTGCCTTGTTGGAACCGGTGCTTGTACTTGACTAGCCGCGTGCGGGGCTTAACGCCGGTCAGGTGGCTGGTTGGTTGGTTTGTTGGCTGGTTGGTTGGTTTGTTGGCTGGTTGGTTGGTTGGTTGGCTGGTTTGGTTGGTTGGTTGGTTGGTTGGCCGGTTGGCCGGTTGGATGGTTGGTTGGGTGGCAGGCCGGTTGGCCGTTATCCCCAGCATGACGACCGGCCTCGCTCGGACATACCTGTTGGCTTTGGTTTGGTAACAGTTGAGAGTTGCTCGGGGCTGCTTGCGGGTGAGCTGATTTGCGCCAGGTGGGCGGCTCGTTTTGCAGTGGCTTTAGGGTTGCTTTTGGGTGTGGTTATGCCTGGTTCGGGAAGTCTTGTGGGGCGTTGCCGCAAACTCGCGCAAACACACCCCAAAAGTAACCCTAAGGCCACTGCAAAGCGAGCCCACCTAGCGCAAATCAGCACCAAGCCAACCAAAGCGACCCAAAGGCAACCTTAAACCCACGCAGCAGCATCCTGCATATCAGCCCTTTGCCGATCCCAAATGAACCGCAAACAAACCCGCCCTCTTCGATCTCAGCAAGCCGGTCTTGCTGGGCATGCGGCCAACCAACCTGACCCCCAGCCTGGCCAACCAGCCCCAAATAATACGTTTTTTTGCCCGCAACCTAAGAGTGAAGCAGGGTTCCCAGCCAACCTATGTAGAGGCACGTGAGGGAGGCCTTGTGCTGAGCCGGAGCTAGTAAAAAGCCGGGGGCGAGTAAACTAAAAGCCCTCAACCCGGCCTTTTCTTGGCCGGAAGTGATGGGTTGGGGTGCTACTGATGCAAGCAAACTCTGTCCTGCTGATGCTTCTTGCTTTTCTTTTGTTAGCACTCTTTCCTTTCGAAAGGTTTCCGGACTTGAGTAGGGGCTGTTGGTTTGCATCCGTTTGTTCTTGATACCTTCCAGAGCTCAGGGTGCCTGTAGGTGTTTGTTTGCAATGTCTCTGTCAATTTGGAAACGTCCTCGCAAGACACGAGTGGGACCTGTTGTTTGGCCAAGTTTTCTCACGTTTTCCTAGCACGCCATTTGATGCTAAGGATTCTAGAATGATGCTGGGATGCTGGACAGGCGGCCCAGAAAAATCGAAAAGTGCTATTTCGTCTACGAAAAGGGAACCATCTGGGAATTGCCCTGTGTGGTTCTGAGGGTAAGGGGAGGGGCAGGTAAGGAGGAAAGCTGCGGTTGTGTTTGGTTTCCTGAAACCGCAAGTACGGTTCATCTCCGGGCTCCAACTTCAATTGCCATGCATGTCCGGGCTTGAAAGGCCCAAGTTGACTGGCCACGGCGAAGGACAAACTCGGTCAGAGTTAGTTTTGGTGGTGCTCCCTGCGGAAGTTCCGCGGATACGGTGCAAGCACACCAAATGCTCCCACGGAGCGTTTGGGAGAGCAATCTCCAACAGGGCATAGTCCCTCTCGACGGCGACACGAGCTGCAATCCGGGGTTCTGTCAGGCCTGCCAGCACTTTGGCTCCCAGGCAGAGACCCATTTTCTACACATACACAATTGTTTTGGGCGGCAAAAAGGCGGGGTGTGTTGCCTGTTTCACTGAACGTGCGGCGAGCTTCGTAAGCAAACCCGTTCGCGGTGTTTAGGACCTAATTCTGTGACACCAAGGGAAGCCTTGGAAGCGATACAGCAGTCATGGGGATGGCCTTTGGTATCATCGAAAAGGCGGCATGGCCATGTTCCCTCAGGAAGTACGGCTTTGGTTTTCCAGAGCAGCATGCGTGCCTTCGAAGGACTTGAGGAGAAAGCGAGTGACATATATGTGGAGCGCCACATGGCCCATATGAGTCGACTTCAAAATTATCGTCATTTACTTTATGTAGGAGTTTTCATCCACATGTTGTTTTCTCGAAAAACGATATTGGACGTCCAAAAAAACGATACCCCAAAACCTGACAGAAAAACCTGGAAAGCGGTACGGGACGTCCTAACGTCGGAATGAATACACCCCAGACAAGTAATTTTGCCGCTGCCTCATATGGTTTCTCCAATGGAATCCGAAAGGAGATGGAAAAAAAACAGACTTATTTTAGGGAATACGCTTTGGTCTCTGGCGCGTCGCTTGCTCTCTGGCGCTTAGACAGGTGTCCCGACTGGATTTGTGACCTGTCCAACTCTTTCAGGCCCTCTTTGTGTGGCTCGAAACATGCAGTGCCTCGCGGAGCAGTGCTGTGCTCGGGCTGTTGAAGGAACGGACTGGTATGAGCCTTTGGGCCGTTTAGATTTGGAGTACATCGATTCTAATTGGCCCCTTGCATTCACGGAATTTAAGTCTTCAAGCCCGGAGCCACAGTTGCAACCGGTCTAGGCATTCTTTTCTCCGGGCAAGGCTGAGGTGGCTGCGGAAAGTTCATCGAGCGTATGGCGAGCTTAGCAAGCGCAGGTTTCCGACAGGCCATGTAGTTGTGACACATCAGAGTTGGTGTAGAATCTCGCTGTGGATTGGCCACTTCGGAGACTGTTGAGCAATGAGGAAGGCCGAGGAAACCCAAATAAAGCCGCGCAACTTCAGCCACGCAGTGGCCTCGGGCATCATTTCAAGGTCATTGCATTGTCAGGGATGTGCTTTGCTCTGCCCCTGGCCCTCAGGGATTGTGCTTTGGAACTCAAGGAGTGAGTTGGCATGCTGAATCTACTGGTCAAAAGATGTGTCTTTTTTGGCCCTGGCTAGAAATGATCAGGAAGATACGGTCCACCCGACTAAAACACATGCGTACACTATTTGCCTTGCACCTAAGTGATATGCAGGAAAGGTAAATTGTTGCAGATGGGTTGGGGGAGGTTTCCTTTTGGCAACAATTTCAGCGTCAAAAGTGGCCCCCAATTTTATGAAATGCCCTCAAGAGGAAACCCCAAAGCTTTTGTAGGTTCCACAAGTTTGCCGATGGTATGCTGCCCTGAGAAGCACATTGCTAGGCCCAACCTGGCGCTTTGACAGGTGTCCCAACTGGACTCGTGACCTGTGCAATTCGTCGCCGAACTCTTGGCCCTCTTTTCGTGGCTCAAGACATGCAGTGCCTCGCGGAGCAATGCTGTGCTCGGGCTGTTGAAGGAACGGACTAAGCTGCCGGGTGACAAATATGAGCCTTCTGGCCCTTCTTGTCGTTCAGATTTGGAGTACCTCGACTCTAATTGGCCCCTTGCATTCACGGAATTTAAGTCTTCAAGCCCGGAGCCACAGTTGCAACCGGTCTAGGCATTCTTTTCTCCGGGCAAGGCTGAGGTGGCTGCGGAAAGTTCATCGAGCGTATGGCGAGCTTAGCAAGCGCAGGTTTCCGACAGGCCATGTAGTTGTGACACATCAGAGTTGGTGTAGAATCTCGCTGTGGATTGGCCACTTCGGAGACTGTTGAGCAATGAGGAAGGCCGAGGAAACCCAAATAAAGCCGCGCAACTTCAGCCACGCAGTGGCCTCGGGCATCATTTCAAGGTCATTGCATTGTCAGGGATGTGCTTTGCTCTGCCCCTGGCCCTCAGGGATTGTGCTTTGGAACTCAAGGAGTGAGTTGGCATGCTGAATCTACTGGTCAAAAGATGTGTCTTTTTTGGCCCTGGCTAGAAATGATCAGGAAGATACGGTCCACCCGACTAAAACACATGCGTACACTATTTGCCTTGCACCTAAGTGATATGCAGGAAAGGTAAATTGTTGCAGATGGGGTGGGGGAGGTTTCCTTTTGGCAACAATTTCAGCGTCAAAAGTGGCCCCCAATTTTATGAAATGCCCTCAAGAGGAAACCCCAAAGCTTTCGTAGGTTCCACAAGTTTGCCGATGGTATGCTGCCCTGAGAAGCGCATTGCTAGGCCCAACCTGGCGCTTTGACAGGTGTCCCAACTGGACTCGTGACCTGTCCAATTCGTCGCCGAACTCTTGGCCCTCTTTTCGTGGCTCAAGACATGCAGTGCCTCGCGGAGCAATGCTGTGCTCGGGCTGTTGAAGGAACGGACTAAGCTGCCGGGTGACAAATATGAGCCTTCTGGCCCTTCTTGTCGTTCAGATTTGGAGTACCTCGACTCTAATTGGCCCCTTGCATTCACGGAATTTAAGTCTTCAAGCCCGGAGCCACAGTTGCAACCGGTCTAGGCATTCTTTTCTCCGGGCAAGGCTGAGGTGGCTGCGGAAAGTTCATCGAGCGTATGGCCATGTAGTTGTGACACATCAGAGTTGGTGTGGAATCTCGCTGTGGATTGGCCACTTCGGAGACTGTTGAGCAATGAGGAAGGCCGAGGAAACCCAAACAAAGCCGCCAACTTCAGCCACGCAGTGGCCTCGGGCATCATTTCAAGGTCATTGCATTGTCAGGGATGTGCTTTGCTCTGCCCCTGGCCCTCAGGGATTGTGCTTTGGAACTCAGGGAGTGAGTTGGCATGCTGCATCTACTGGCCAAAAGATGTGTCTTTCTGGGCCCTGGCTAGAAATGATCAGGAAGATACGGTCCACCCGACTAAAACACATGCGTACACTATTTGCCTTGCACCTAAGTGATATGCAGGAAAGGTAAATTGTTGCAGAT